ATACATATGATTTTTTTTTTTTTAAATCATCATTTTTTTCTCCAGCAACTGATTTTTTCTCCAGCAACAGCATAAGACATAAAGAGTTATGGTTAAGGTTAAAATTAGGTTTTTAGTTTAGGTTAGGAGTTTGGGGTAGAGTTAGGAATAGTTTTTCATTCAGGATTGAAGTTTGAAAATCAGGTCCAGTGTGTCGTAAATTAACAGAGGAGCAATTGTCGCTGGATCATTCATGGTAGACCCAATGAAATCTTATAGTCTGTTCAGACTTCATGGAAGTTATATGAATCTTGTATTAAGAATCATTGTTTGGTGAATGGAGCGTTCAGACTGGAAAATAAAATTGTTTAAAGTAACATTTTTTTTAAGAAACCAGTTTTTACGAGGTCAATTGACATGGCAGCTGGTCAGTCATCATTGTGTGCTCACGATAAGCCCTGCCAGTTATACGATTTTCATATAACAGCGTTCAGAACTTCAGACTAGAACAGTATGCTGATTCTGGGGGATGTTTCACAAAGCGTAAGATCGACTTAAATTTGGACTCAACTATGGCAGGCCGTTCATATCACTGTTTGCTATCACCATTATGATCTTTAGATAACATTTTTTCCTTCAATAATGATTTATCAAAAAATGTAAATTCTCTAAATTTGTGACCATGATTTGTATGTCCCTTGAGAAACCAATGCAAGTAAATGGTGAGAGCAAACAGTGGCATGAACGGCCTGCCATAGTTAAGTCCGGCTTAAAGTTGATCTTAGTCTCTGTGAAACACTCCCCTGGTATCTAGTTTTCATTTTAACCTAGGCTCAAACAGGTGTTTCACTATGCAATGATTCGTTGCATAATGTTCAGACTTGGAACAAATCCATAAAAAATTGTGTAGCTACATGTATAGTTGTGTACGATGAATTCTGTTGGTCTGAATGAGGGGCTTACGTCATCATCATCATCAATCCAAGGATTTGTGATTAGATATACCTTTCTCATGGGAATAGTTCAAGGTGATGTGTTAATCAACTACAACATCTTATTATCTTCATCACGTCTTCATTATTAAGATATTGATTCGTCTGATATCTGTTTCCTCTCTATCTTTTGATTGGTTTGTTGTTATTCATTGTCCTTCATTTGTCCTTAACTGTCTGAAATTGTTTCATTGCTCAAATGTTATTGCCCATATCCCTCTCTTCCCCTCTTCACCTCTTCCCCTCTTCCCCTCTTCCCCTCTTTCCCTCTTCCCCTCTTCCCCTCTTCCCCTCTTCCCCTCTTCACCTCTTCCCCTCTTCCCCTCTTCCCCTCTTCCCCTCTTCCCCTCTTCCCCTCTTCCCCTCTTCCCCTCTTCCCCTCTTCCCCTCTTCCCCTCTTCCCCTCTTCCCCTCTTTCCCTCTTCCCCTCTTCCCCTCTTCCCCTCTTCCCCTCTTCCCCTCTTCCCCTCTTCCCCTCTTCCCCTCTTCCCCTCTTCCCCTCTTCCCCTCTTCCCCTCTTCCCCTCTTCCCCTCTTCCCCTCTTCCCCTCTTCCCCTCTTCCCCTCTTCCCCTCTTCCCCTCTTCCCCTCTTCCCCTCTTCCCCTCTTCCCCTCTTCCCCTCTTCCCCTCTTCCCCTCTTCCCCTCTTCCCCCTCTACCCCCTCTACCCCTCCCTCTTTCCCCTACCCCACCTTTTCTCCCTCTCCCTCTCTCTCCCTTCCTCTCCCTTCTTTTCCCTTCCTTTCTCTCCCCCAAGAAGCAGGCACACCTCAAATATTCCAGAAAATCTGATTCCAGGAACTAGGAACATGCTCATCTTGCACTAAGAAAATGTAATAACCATTATGCAAAGTTCAAGACTCTTTTCATCACAACATTCATCACAACATTCATACACAAATCATCTACTTTAATTAGCTACACAGTTTGTGCACAATAAGCCAGTTTCGTAATGTAACCAAATTTAATGCATACGTCTTTGTGAAGTGCCTCAATACAAATTATTTCATTCACCTGATAAGAATAATAGTATTTCAATAGTCAGAATGCAACTGCATATATTAAGTTGTTGCCAGGTTGGACAAACATTATGGCTTGACCTACCTAGCAACACTTAATATATGCAGTTGCATTCTGACTATTGAAATACTATTATTCTTATCAGGTGAATGAAATAATTTGTATTGAGGCACTTCACAAAGACGTATGCATTAAATTTGGTTACATTACGAAACTGGCTTATTCAATGCAGAAGGTCCCATTCCCTTATAATGGTCCTTATTAAAGTGAGTCACACATGTACTTGCAAAAATTACGGGGAATCCAAATTCCAGGAATTGAATACCTCTGAACTTGATGTGAATTGCCTGTTCTTTGTCAGAAGAATGTTAGTTATCTGGTATCCTTTGATACAAGAGTTACCGCACTTCTGGCAATCTGCGGATGGTATGTTGTAATGACTTGTCTTCATCAGTCTGGGTCATGGCTTCGACCAGTAGTTCTCACTTAGAAGGGAAGGTTATTCTGACTTGGCTGTATGGTAAAGTGTCATAAGGCTTCCATACAAGGACATCTGATGAGAAATACATGTACGTGTAAGATATTTTGGTGACCAAAAGTCCAAAGTCAAGATGAGGAGCATGACCCAGAAATTTCATAATGCAAAGAAGGCCCTGTTTTGGGGAGAAACCATACAATGTAAGAGGTATGCACAATCAATTTAAATGAAGTTAATCTAGAGTTGAAATACAAAGTAGGATTGTTACATTTATGTTCTTGTACGTATCCTCAATACAAATACGGGACTTAAGAAATTCCCCAGCATCGCATAAACTGCAACGTCCTCTGTCCAGGTTTGTTTTTTACCTCTGGATTAACTTCTTTTAAGTCAATTGAGGTATGGCTCTTATGTTTTACGGTTTCTCAAAATGTCGGAGCCTACTTAGCTTTGGATTATCCCTTTTATGACGTATCTAGGACATGGAGAATGGAAGCCATTTTTCAAAGTTTTCCAACGTGAAAAACAATCCATGCACAGCTAGAGTGCATAAAATTAATCTCAAAATCTCAAAAACAGTATGAAGAAAAAAAGAATAAGTTAAAACCAGTCACGTGGCACCCAAGTGCGACTTGGTTTCCGTATGGGTCCTATTTCATAGAGAGCACAAGTCCTTTTATGTGAACTGGGAGCGTATTAAACTTGCAAGTTCTCTTTAGGGAAGTACTATTTGAAGATCAAATTTTGAATATTGCATTATGACATGGAACTAGTAATATGAAAAACAAAATATTTGTTGGTAGTTATAGTGGTTTTAACTGTCCAAAATCATAGTTTTATAACATCTAACTTCATGGTATAGGTATCATTTTCGGAAAACATGAAGACAAGCTTTTCTCTTTTAGCAAAGACATATAGATATGATCAAAATAAACTTTGCTTAGGACATGCACACACAGAGACAAAAAGAACAAGGCTTTGGAGTATTTTTAAAATCTTTGCCTGAGCTTTGTCTCTGGCAGCTGTTATCACACATCGCTCAAGACATGTCAAGGAATAAATTCTGCTGATACTTTAGGGAGTTAAGCATGATAAAATGCCTGCCCTTGTCTAAGAATTGACGCAAGAGGCAAAGATTTGAATACTCAGATATATATGCATATGTGTACTTATCCACCCTTGTTAACTTCAAAACGGTCAAAGTGTCAGACTGTTCCATACTTACCTCGTATTGATAATCCATAACGCCCTCACTTAAATATGCATTGTTTATAGAATTGACTTTTATCTGCGAAACTGCATGTGGGTAGGAATTATGGCTAAGAATATCCCTGAGCAATTAAAAAAGGGTGTGGGGGAATATAAAGACGTCAAACATTTTCAATAGAATATTATTGCTTATTGGCCGGTGCTGAGGAAGTTGCTTTTTACTTTTGGAATAACCATATTCTTCAGCAGGAGCAATTTTCATAATGAAGTTCATCTTTAATGTCATTGCCATGATACAAAACATTGTGGCTAATTACTTGAAACAATGACTTCCATTATATTGGTAAAGCCTCATTCAATTATGTGTTCCCAGCAAGCTCTAAAAGAAGAAGAAAGAAAGTTTGATTTCCCCTGCACACCGACTCTTTAATATGAAATACATAAAATAGGCCTTACACAAGTCAAATTTGATACAATTTCGCTCTTCAATAATGTTTTTCAAGTTTATGCTATTAACATTGGATTTGAGGCCATACAACTCTTGTGTATGACGCATTCGGACCTTGTTTGCTTGCCCATGAACCTTAATTCCCCTTGTTTTTATCGGATTTGTTGTGTGGCATCTATGTGCATACGTAGCATGCTAGCATGCCATTAGGAGATCTTTATATGCAGAATACATGAATGGGAGATGTTGAGAAGGTTGAAAGGTTTTGTAATCTTGGGGATACAATTCAACAGTGGTGGTGGATGTGAGATTGCATTGGTAAGAAGACGGTGATTGGGGTGGATGAAGTTTAATGAGCAGGCCTCGATCCTAGCTGGTAGGAAGTTTATGGTGAGAATTAAAGCCTATCTGCAATAGTTTGACCAGAAAGGATTAGACCTCCCTGTGTGGTCACTGGCAGATGGTTATCTCATCAAATCAGCTCTCAATTAACATGAGAAAAAGGGGACCATGGGGGATCAACGGGTACCGCTTAGGCACTGTTGGCTTTATAGAGGGCGCAAGTAGTGCAGTCCCGCTTTACAGGCAAGATCTATAAGGCTTGTGTTACAACAGAGATTGCATAGGGTCTATAAACTTGCAATGTGAAGACATTAGAAGAAGGTATCTTGAGGAAAACAGAAATAGCCAAGATACGGAAGATGTGTGGTGCGATGGTGTGAAATGGTCTGATAAAAAGAATACAGATTTAGTTCATGGAAAGGTTGGGTCTGGAAGAAACTGTGGTGGATACATAAGAAAAGTGGATTGAGATGGATGGGTCATGTGTTGAGAAGGGAAGATGATAAACCTGTGAAAGAGAGCTTTGGATCCAGATGTGGATGATGTAAGAGGGAAATGAAGACCAAAGATTTCATCAAAAGATATGGTTATGAAAGGTTGGTCTAAATGAGGAGGATGCTTGAGACAAGCAAAGGTGAGGAAAGGGAGTGTCATCATTTATGTGTGTTATGATTAAAAACCAGTGGTCTTCAGGTAATGCAGATGTGAGTCTTGGAAATCTTATTTAGTCATATAACACACAGTTGTAGATAATTCTTGTTCTTGGTTCCCCCCCCCCCCCCCCAAAGTCATGATAGGTAACTCTTGTACTAACACTACTTGGAAGCAGGTTTCTGCACCTGACATTTTGCATTTAAAAAAAAGGTTCTGTATACTCTAATTACAAAAATATTAAATTCCTGTCAAACTTGAGTAGTATGGCTTTACAGCAATATCCTTCTGGTTCCAAGCCGATAAGATCCAAATGGTTTCCAATCATATTTCTAACCTACAAAATATATAATTATCACAAATTTTCTTTTGCTGTTACAGATTTGAGATCACCATAGAGTTGAAGACAACCCAGAAGGACAGCCTGATCTTCTACATGGCGGATCCGAGCGAGAACTACTACGCCGCTCTCCAGCTCATGAAAGGATTTGTCTTCTTTAACTTCAAGATTGGAAACTCACCGGTCTTCATGGATTCTGACTTTGTGATTGATGATGGCTACTGGCATACGGTGAGAAAGGCTTCTTTCTAGATCGTAAAATTTATATAAAAATAAATTTGAAATTAGAATAATGCTATTGGCCTACAGTTAGAGTCTTTTTTTGTTCGGAGGGACTTACTAGCCAAGGCCTGTATGATTTCTTTTACAGTTTTTTTTTTTTATCCAAACCAAGATTGTCTCAAGGCCTACAAAATGCCATACAGGTACTTCTTTTAAATAGGAATTTCTTCCATATGAAACCATTATAAAAACCGCAACTCCATCCTTTTCTTCAACCCTGTGACTGGCAATTCATCACATTTCAAACTTGTTGCTCGCTGCAGTTCTCCTGTCCTGTTTTTATAAACATGAGAAATAGAGGGAACTGGTGATAACATTTAACAGCTACACATAACAGATCCTTTTTCTCAGATTCATTTTGTGTGTGTTTGAGAGGGGGCTGATCATGGACCTCTGCCACAAGGCCTTTGCACTTTGCGCAGCTTGCTTGTTATTGCCACGTTACTCTCATTACTAATTTAAAAATTCAAATGTTGGCAGCTATGTATTTGTCGCTTGGCTCACTAACTTCTGATTCACACTCCATAAAGATCATTACAAGATGCATGAGCACAAAGATTAAAAAAAAAAAATCTTCACATACTGTGTCCACATATGAACCTTTGTTAGAGGCTTGACGTTTGGACTTTTTGTGAACAAAATAACCACTAAAAGCCTTAAATTGGCAACTTGATGAAAACTTCAGAAATACAATTTTCTACCCGAAATAGCAATTTTCTTTAAAAAAATTTGGACATTACTCCCTGACAATATTTATTTATTTCAGATGCATGACTCAATATTTTAAAGAAAAGAAGTGACATTAAAGGGAAAATATTCAGTGTTGCCCATTTGATAAAGAAAAGCCGATCAAATAAATCCTTAAATTTTTGATTTACTTCCACAGATTGAGATCTCTAGAAACAGGAAGACCGGAACTCTTCAGGTGGATGGTACCAAGCGAAAGAGGGCCAAGTCGGACAACGGTCGCAAGAATCTCAACATCCAATCACCCATCTATATCGGTGGTCTACCTCTTAACAGGCAGTCACCCAACGTGTATGGGGTAAGCTAAAGAAACCTCGCTCTCTATCTCTCCCCAATCTCTCTCCCTATCCACCACCCAACGTGTAGGGGTAAGCTATAGAGGCTGGCTTTGAAATGGTCAATCTTTTACCTTTTGTTCAGTACTAACCAACGAAAAAAATACACGGTGGCGACGGGCGATTCGCCCCCTAAACCTCTGAAATCGCCACGGTAAAAATCAAGACGAGGGCGAAAAAAAATCAATATATCTTGAAAAATCGCCCCCGCCATAAATTGATATTCCCTATGAATTAATAAACCAATTTATTGATGTGTCTGAGTGAAATCTCCGTTCCAACTACCAACTCCAAAACTAGAAACTTCCATCAACATTTTAAAAGTTTTGTGAGTTGCAGCGGATCGGCGGTCGTACCTACTGTAGCTAGATCTACAGCGGTATCCGCCTGCCTGTGCCTAAGCTCCCGGCGGCCGGACAGGCCACCGGCCCGATGTAGTTTCGTGCACAGCATGAATGCATATGCAGTTCGCACACGTTCACAATACACAGAAACGTACTAGCTCAGCTCCAGCGCGCGCCCGCACGCTCCTTGTATGAAGCAAATAAGTATTTGCGAGTGACGAGAGCTCAACTGCTAGCGACCAAATTGGTACGTAATATGTTTATTTAGTCTTTTTCTGGCCCTAATTTTTATCATGGACAATGCAATCCCATTAAAAAAAATGTTATTCCGTCTAAAATAGTGTTATTTATAAGTTAAAACCATTAAATGCGAGTATATTTTTACTGTTGTCCCACATACTGATATATTTGTAATAACGAAACGTGCAAAATCAATGCCGGATTTTTTCCTGTAAAATCGGTATAAAGCAAGTTTCGTACACAGAAATTGAATTTTGTTATAAAAAAACCGTAAATAAATATATAAAGGATGTTCCTACTCCTCAGAATCTTTCTTACAACTGTTTAATTAAATTAAATTATTTATATACGATCGATGCCAGGCCAATTGTCATGAGTGATGTCTGATGATGACATCAATTTCTGTCTATGAAATGAAACTAGCTTTGGCTTGGCCTTTAGAATTAGAGTCTATAAAAAAAAATAAGGCCATGATTTTGAATGTTTCGGCATAACAAATAGACCCTACATTGGTATGTGGGACAACAGTAAAAATATTTACTCACATTTAATGGTTATAAATGGTCTAAATAACACAATTTTAAAGGGAGTTGGTCTACATTTTTTTTTAAATGGGATGGCATTGTCCATGATAACAATTAAATTTGGGACAGAAAAAAAGCCTAAATAACATATTACCTACCAATTTGGTTGCTAGTAGTATGATGGCTAAGGAAAAACACAACTTATTGTTACAGCTTACAATATGGCTTTACGGAAGTAGCCCCTTGGTTTTTTTTAGGCAATGGGGAAAAGTAGCCCCATAAAAAAATTAATTCCTAGCCCGCGTGTCAGTGATAATATTTTCTTAGGATATGAAAAACGAACAGTTAAACAAAACACTCCTTTTGACAAGTTTTAGTTACATGTATATGTAAATCATAAAGCCACACGTTTAACACAAAGTGAATAAATCATGGGTATCTGAATGTCTGCAATACTCTACATGACATATGTACGCTACAATTGTATCTATATTTGCCTTTGCTTGGAATTTAATTAGGTAAAACCGCGTTTAAAAAAAATACAACCTTTAAAAAAAAAAGCCCCCCTGAGCTCCAAAATAGCCACCGCAAAATAATTAAGGAGGGCTATTTTTTTAAGGGAAAATCTGAAAAGAGCCCTCGTAAAAAAAAAAGTAATTTTTTGGTTGGTACTAACAGTCAACTTTATAATGAAATAAATATGTCATGTGAGGTGGTAGGGAACAGGCATGTACGCAAGGGGGGGGGGGATTTGGGGGTTTTAAAAAATATAAAAATGTGCTTTTACTCCCCCGCAAAATTTTCGGCGTGATTTTCAAATTATAAAACACCCCCCTTGAAAAAATCCTGCGTACGCTACTGGTAGGGAAGATTGTACAATATACTGATCGTGAGGTTGTTTTAGGAGTTCTTCATTTTCCCGTTCTTATACAACGAAACCTGAAGACCAATATCTGGGTTGGATTGTATTTCTACCCTCTGCGTTGCTGTTTTATGTAAACTGTACAAATAAGTATTCAATTTCATAAAAGAAAGCAGAAGGAAATTGGTCTACCCTTAGAACTTATCCTTGACCTCTAGATCAAACAAAGTAGACTGCCTTTAATGAAAGACAGCACTTACTGCTACACCTTTCCTCACAAGATTAATTAAAAAGCTCAGGGCTTGCATAACATCTGTGATGAAAGCCAGTCCGGAGCAAGTGAGAATTAAAATTTGTTTTTATTAAAACGAAAGGATAAATAGGGGAAATTAGTTTTAGAGGGCTGTGTGTGTTTGGCATCTGCACCGTCGTAATGAGTTTTTCCCTTCATCTCCGTAAGTTGCCTAGGAAATGCATGTAGAATGATTTTGTTTGTGAAACCCTTTTTTAAAATCTGTAAACCTATAATAACTAAATCGGTAGCTTGATCAATTTGTGAGAGCAAATTAATTAATTGCCATAATTAAAGTGTGTTTCCGTCTGAGCCTAAATCAGGGTTGTTGAAATTAAAGTAGAATAATTGTAAGTCACCAGTTGAATTGTTTGGAGATCATATTGAAGAAAGGAAATATTTTTAAAAAGGATGTTGTTTGTTTTACTCTGTTCTTTGTGAATTTTTGTTTGTTTTCTTCATCTGCATGTATACATGTTTTTATGTTCTTTGTGTCGTGCTTGCCTTCTTTGTTTTTCTCTCTGTTAAAGCTCCGGTTCTCTGTCCTTCCCATTTCTCTGCCTGCCTTCCTCATTCCCTTATCGCTCTGAAAATTATAATTTTCCTTTCCTATCTCCTTTCTTCTGTCTTTTTTCTATAAGGTTGTGCCTCCTATCACTATTAATTGCAAGCACTCCATTGGCCAATACTTTCCAGAAAAAAAACACATCCATTTATCTGGATTCATTTTTTTTCTAACCAGTGGCCCTGCATAAAATATCAAGGGTCTGTCTTCATAAGCTAAAATTGAGAAATTATGTGGTCTGAAGGAAGAATTCAGGAGCCCTGGGCACCTCGAAGTGTCAAGCCCTGCATATATATATATATATATATATATATATATATATATCTTTCTTAAAATAAGCTCAAAGTTGCACAGAAGAGTTAAAAAGGTAACTGCAGCTTTACAGAAATACAATATACTGAGTGTTCTCTTCTTTTCATTTCTCTCTCTCTCTAGGATGGATTTGATGGCTGTATACGCAAGTTCCATTTGAATGACAAAGTCATTGACTTGACTGGAAAGGCCAATAATTCTTACGGAGTCGTGACATGCTATACCAACACTGAACCAGGACATTACTTCCAGGGAATCGGCCATGCACTGCTCGGTAAATTTTTTAATGAATTTTTTTCATGGATAATTTTTTTTTTGATGAATGGTTATTAAATCTTCCTTTTTTGGGGGTGAAATTTGTCTCCCCCAAAACATATATAGATGCAGTACAGGTAGGTTTTTTCATGGGAGAAAGTATACCACTAATTTTTGCAGCAGAACAAAGAATTGAAACCCCAAAGTTACCGCTAAAGGGTTCTTAGGAAACAAACTTGGAGTTTCACCAATGGGATGAGGAAGGAAGATGGGGGAAGGAAAAGAGGGAGGAAATAGTGGAGGGGAGAAATCAATGTTTGTATGACATAAAGGGAAAAAAAGTGAATGGTATAAGAGGATAACATGTCCATCAATTGTTTATTTTTAGTGAAATGAAGTTTGCAAAGAGTCAAAGAAGAGTAGGAAAAAGAGAGATAAAAGGCATACAGATGATGAAAGTCTAAATTTGGATTTACTTAAAACATTGTATTGCATTTTCTGGATCAGTAGTTATCCTTCCATTTTTCTTCTCTGTACAGCCAACCAACAGCAGATTGGATCTGACTTTGAACTCCTCATAGAGTTCCGGACAGCGCAGAAAGATGGCCTCCTCTTTGCAGCCACTGATCTAGATGGTGTGGGAGTCACAGTTGTAATTTCAAATCATGACGTAAGTTTTTTCCCTTCTCTCCAGATTGTTTGGGTATGGCCAAGACATCCATCATCTATCTATTCATAAATCTGTCTTTCTGTTGATGATTGTCATATCTTCATGTATATGGTTTAATTACAAGTTTCTTGGGTGCTTGGAAAATGTCTAAGAAAAAATATGTTCAAACCATCAAAATACAACTCCCCCACCTCTTGATATTTAACCCCCAAACACCCCAAAGAACGAAGCCCTCCAGAATAATATTTAAAAAAACAAAACATTTTTTTTTTAAAGACAACAAACAAACAAAAACCAGCAACAAAAAACAAACAAAAACCAGCAACAAAAAACAAACAAACAAACAAAAGAACACAAGACAAAACAACAAACCAAAATAAACAGAAATAATTTTTTTCACTCCTTGCACTGCAGATCCTTCTCAAGCTGTACACTGGCCGTAGGATGGCAGAGATCCCTTTCCGAGCTCACAACAATTTCACCGTCTGTGACTACCAGTGGCATCTGGTCCAGGTGGTGGAACTAAACGGTCTATGGCAGCTCTCCGTCGATGGCATCATGGCCAACAATCTCAGGGGTACGGTCAGACTACCGGAAGACGAGCGCTACCGTTACTACGCCGGTGGTAACCCATGTAAGTGTGGGAAATGTCCCTAGGATAGGATGTCAAATGTCCCTTGCATGGAATGTGAAATTGGTGTTGTGTAGAGTCAAGCCTATTTACATGTATGCGAAGAATGCACAATATCAGGGAAACTGCCCACCTATCATAGTAGTGTGGTAACCCGTGTAAATACGGTAAATGTCCCTTGGATAGGATGTTAAATTTAGGCCTCTCTTGTTGACGGCTTACAATTATTTATGTTAAGAACCCCCAAAATCTTAAGAGTACTGTCCGACTTGTATGCAACGAGCGCTACCAATTCTATTCTGATGGTTACCCATGTAAGTTTGGAAAATGTCCCTTGGATAGGAAGTTAAGTTTAGGCCTCTCTTATAGGAGGGTAACATTCATATATGTTATGAACCCCACAATCTTAGAATTACTGTCTGACTACCAGGAGATGGGCGCTACCAGGGTAGTTTGGGAAAGGTCCCTTGGATAGGAGGCCCCTCTCATAGGCTGTCAAATGAAGGCCTATGTGTAGAGTCAAGCCTGTTTACATGTATGTTAAGACGACAAAATATCAGGGGTACTGTCCGCTTAATGGATGACAAGCATTCCTAGTTTAACACAATCAGTTATACCAAGAGGAGAGATGTGAGAAAATCATGCTTGTCTTTCCTCTGGTAGCATTTACAGTGAACATATGAAAGCATGATTTTTAGTCTAAAGTAAAGAATATTGTTTAATCATTTAATAATAGAAGTCAAGTCCCCCTACTCCATCGATTTGCTCTGATGCAACGCTCTTTCTGCTTTTCCTCTGACAGTATCTAACCCTGACGGCATCCGATTCAAGGGCTGTATACGACGCCTGGAGGTCAACGGAGGGTCCGTCCCCGTCGAGTCGTCGATAGAGATCGTGGGCGTGGTGCCTCTAGAATGCCCCGTCGTATGACGACGATGACATTGAGGGATCACCGCCCCTGTCGAGTCATCGATAGAGATCGTGGGTGTGGTGCCTCTGGAATGCCCCGTTGTATGACGACGACGACGCCGTTGACGGATCACCATGCCTCGCTGCTGCTGCTCTTCTTTCAACTGGAGGTTGATTCCGCAGGGACTATGTGCAAATTAATGAAATGAAGTATTCTATAGCTGCATTCCAAATACAGGACCACAGGCAGAGATGCGAGGCATTTTTATCATTCATCTACTTCTATCCCATGTTTTATGTATTTTCTCATTTGATATATGATTTTATAAAGATTGGTCAAGGGAGATGAGAAAAGTTGTCATAATAGTCAGATGGTCTCTATGTACAGGTTCCTGCAGTAGAAGTTTCAATGAGAACCAATTCTCAAGGGAGACAAGATATGCAGTTCTTTTAGACAATTGGTAATTGATGCTGGTTTGACTATATATGTATCTCTGGACTTGCGATGTAGTGGTTATGAACAGGAAGTGGAATTCTGGGATGATATTTAGCATTGCCGAAAAGCTCTTTGTAAAGCCAAGTTTATGCTTTCAAAATGACATTTGAAAAAAAACCTAGACTTTTGACCAAAATCCTATAACTGTTTGTTATATGCACTATTAGCATTACATGTAGTTGTATATAATTTGATTATCAGCATTATTATGATTAGCATTAGCATTAGCATTGTCCTCTTCATCATCATCATCATCATCATCATCATCATCATCACCACCACCACCACCACCACCACCACCACCACCACCACCACCACCACCACCACCGCCGCCGCCGCCGCCGCCGCCGCCGCTGCCACCACCACCACCACCACCACCACCACCACCACCACCACCACCACCATCATCATCATCATCATCATCATCACAATCTAGTCCATGATGCCAATGAGTTCTGTTATAATGATGATGAAAATCATCATGATCATGATCGTCATTATTGTCATGTATTTGTGCCAGGCAATGGCATCATAATGTTTATAAAAACAATCAAGTAGTTTTGGAAATCAAGTAAAATATCAACTATGCAAATGGACTCATGATAAGGATATGTTACTATGCTTTTGTAATATATTTTCTAAAGATGATATGATAGTCAATGAGACTTCTTAAAAATCACTGTCACGTAGAGTTTACTTTACCTCCAGCTCAATAGTCAATCATTTTCTGTTCATGGTGTTCAGTGAAATTTATTTTAAAATCAATTGACATGCAAATATTTTTAAAGAAAATCATGATAATGGTTACTCTGACTTTGTCAATTACTGCCTTAATTTTCTGAAATCAAATATAATTTTTTATGGTGATTGAATATGCGTATTTTTGTGTACCTGTTTTAGTAGTTCAAGATTTAATTAACAAATTTGGTGTGATTTTATGATCGAGTATGTCATCTTGATGTTCTTTACTTTACACAAACTTGAATTTAAAAGCTGTTATACACCTTTTAAAAGAGCATGAATCTATAAAGTAGAATTCAGTGCAATTTGTTCACATTTGTATTATGTCTCAGATGCTGTTAGGACAAATGTATTATCGCAAAGGGGCTGACTTAACATGTAATGTTTTTGTTTTTATTTTCAAAGAATGTCTCAGCATTTATGTACATTTTAAGTATTTCTATGCATTATGGAATGTGGTACTTGTCTATGTAGGGTTGCATCATGCATGGCATATACATGTAGATGTTCGTTTGTAGATATTTTGTGTACATTGTGAGAGGTATGCTCTGCAGCAGTCAACTGCATTGCAAGTTTTCTAGTGATATGTATTTGTAATTGAATAATGGAGAGTTTTAGCTTAGCTGGGTTATGACGTTTTATCTTATTTATGAAATGAGAATTTTAGTTTCCACCTGTACTTATCATTGTTGTGTTTATAATACAAAAGATGTGATCTTATGTAAGAAGGGGACAAAGAAAGCAAGAAAAGGGATAATCTAAATATCTCTGCTTATTGATGCAGTGATCCTGGTTCTGCAGTTACTCTAAGAGAAATCCCCTCCTTCTTTCAATATCAATGGTAGATATTTAAAAGAAGAAAAAAAAGTATTTTCTGTCCATTTATACTGCTATACGGTACATGTAAGTAGATAAAGGAAGAATAGGAAATGAAGTTCCTTTCGCAACACAGTTCATAACACTGCCAAATTTCATGTTACAATTTATTGTGCTGTCTATTTATATCAAAATGTATATTTCATTTCTCTAATGTTCTTTGTTGTTACTTTCTTTTGATAAAATTTTGAAAGCATTTCTCATATTCCTTTTGCTACAAATGCTGATTCTGGTGTGCTTTCTGTAAACTTTTGGATATTATGTAAATATGTACATATATTGTTTTTTTTAACCATTTCAATATACTATCTTATTTATACATTTAAACATTGCATTGCTACACATAGTTAGCAATTTTTATGTTGCCTTTACTTTTTATGATACATTTTAAAGTGTGTTTTAAAGTTAGCTGTTGTTTAGTTAGCATGGAGGTATATTTAACAACTTTTTAAAAACCTTGAAATATATTGTCAAGTTAAAATGTTGTTGTTTTGTGTCTGTTGTCAATTTTCTTTGAGCTACAATTACATAGATATGAAAAATATCTAATTCTGTGTAGAGTAGTTATTAAGGTGTTTAAACAAATAGCCCAGCCTTTTTAGAGTTTGCTATTAGCTATGGAACTGGGTTGAACTAAGCCTATGGGAAAAAGACAATTCATTAGGTAATGCATTAAAGATAAACTTGAGTTCTGGTAATGCGATTGCATTGTGAAAGAAAAGGTGTGGAATGGATCAGAAAAGTTGATCATATGTAAGTTGATCAGATGTAAGTAATGGTGTGCAGTGCAAGGTTCTGGAGTCATCAAAATCATCATAAATTTGGCAGAGTCTTGGTAAAGTAACAATCACTTACACAGAAAGATGTATATGGGACAACACACATGGTGTAGGGGCTAGTACTACCCTGATTTCCTTATCTTTCTATGCTCATTACCCAGCCAGTATACATTTTCTTCCAAAATTGTTTGGCACATGCCATTTATTTGTAATCTTGAACATTCAGTGTAAGTTTCGTTAGATTCTGTGAGAATTCATTTTCTTTTTTTACCAGAACTCAAGTTTATCTTTAATCAGAATTTTTGAAGGACTCATTGATGTTACAGTCAATTGGCTTTATCCTACATGTGTATCTGTTAAGAGCAAGAAGAGCATTATTTGTAAAAGCATATGAGTTTATGCCCTTCTGGCTTTTAGCAGCCACATCCATTTCTTTAATTCTGACTTTATTCAGAAATTTGGAGATCTAGGATTTGTAAAATTGATATTAACTCATAGCCTGTCATAAGGCAGCATGCACGCTATTGTTAAAGTGCTTTGTGCACGTGAGCAAGCTACTGTTCCTCTGCTTCTTGCATGTTTGCACGCATTCGTAATAGCAGTTATTGTTCATGCCCATTGGACTGTGCCTTGTGTTTTGCACGCGCTATTGATAGTACCATCTCGTTAATCCGATTATCTCGTTATAAAGTTGGCACTGGGGGGGGGGATTTGTGGCTTGGCACAATGGGGATTAGCCCTGTGGCAGGATAAGAGTTAATATTGATAATATTTATATCATAACATATACCTATTTTATCCTTCTTGGTGCTGTTACGGTTACAGATTAAGCATTGCTGAAGCGGAAATATCCAGTATTAAATGTTTGTGAATAGCAGCATCTACATATTTTTTATGTAAGGTCATGGTACAGTATTATAATCTATATGTTCCATTTTCATAAGGTGCTTTCAACAGAGCAAGAAATTATGTCTGTTTAGAGTCAGAATGACACTAATCTGATAGATTAACGCATGTCTGGCTCTAAGCATATCATTTTTTTTATTATCAGTGTGGCCCAACTCTAAAGTTCTGCCACCGTTTCTACCACCTCAGGGTCTATTTTAATGCACACATGACTTGTTTTGGCGAATGTACATAAATAACATATTTGTTGTGCTTGAATGTAAGACAGAGTATAAGACAGTACATGCACGTGACATCTGGGTCCTGTTTCATAGAACTTCTTTACAAAAACGATTTGCACAGATCCATGATAGATCTGCTCATAACTAATTAAAAGCAAAAATTTCAGTAGCTTATAACAATTTTGATATCTTGTTATTGAAAATTAGTTTGGTGAAAACAGGGCCCAGATCCAATTCTCTATACTTGCAAATATATGGACAGCCTTAAGTCAAACATTGTATATATGTTTAGTTTGCATGGAGGTTGAATTATTTAACAACCTTCTTAAAACCTTGAAATAGTAATATCAAGTTTAAATGTTGTTGTTTGGTGGCTGTTGTAAGTTTTCTTTGCGTTTCAATTTTTATAGATATAAGAAATATCTAATTCTATGTAGAGTAGTTATTACGGTTTTATAAACACTGTGAAAACCAAAACCTGTCATGTCACAAAACATTTGCAAAAATGTTGTTAGTGATGGCAATGCTTCTGGCAAGGAAATGTCACAACTGGCAAAATTGAGTGCTTCGAATTAATTTATTCAGAGGCAAGTCAAACAGTTTATGAAAGTTCCTTGCATAAGGAAATCTCTGGGTTTTCAATAATTCATGCTGATTAATGTAACAATGATTGATCAAGCGTTTTAGTCTACTGTGGTGAGCAAAATAAGCATTGCTTCGTCAGTTATTGAAATATATCAAATTATGTTTTTAATTGTCAATTTGAAATAATAGAATTACTGAAATGATTTGCTTTCTAGATGTCATGATAATGTGTACTCGAATCATTGTAGCTTGTGTATATACATGTAGTTATTTAATTTATTGAAGTCTTCCTATGCCTTTTGTATTCTAATTGTCTGCAGTATATTGTAAAGTCGCAAGTCACCACTGACTCAAATAATGTTTTTAGTCGGTGCTGAATTTTTTTCTACGAATGAGTGCCTGTATGTCAATATCAACTATAATTGAATTTTATTCATTGATGCAGTGTAACCTTTTCTGTTATTGAAAACCCTGAAAGACATTGCTTCTTATATCCTATGCAAAGGGTCTTTTTGTAAATCAATCTAGATTTAGACTTGGATACTAGGTGAAAGAAAATACATGTATTAACAGTTTTTGTAGTTGCAGAAAACAAGGTTAAGACACTTGTCAGTAGGCTGTATCGAAACGGATGAAAGGATTGATTGTTATCCTATGATACAATGCTTTCATAAGGGATTTGTTTTAATTTTAGTAAATTTACAGACTCGCCTATCAGTGAGGGAAATAAGATTCCATGTACAATGGCTCACTCTGACCAATAGAGGGCTCTGTATTTAGGAATATCAGTTGATACATTGATTGACCTGACCTGCAGAAAAAATCTTCCTGCGACAAAAACATCAGTTGATTGATAGTCTGCTTCCTATTGCTGCACTCTTTGGGCATGGTTGAAAGAATAATTTGAATATCAATTTTGCCAGTATGGCTCTTTCTTTTGTCAGGAAATTTGTTTGCCAGGGGCATATTTGCAGTGCAGATCAAAAGATTTAGCGCATTAAATAGTTTATACCCAAGTCAAACATACGAGTCCAACACCAGACTGACGACAGACTGAATAGATAGATTATATCTGGTTCAAATCACTCTGAAGATCTACATTTGTTAGATGGGGCCCTCTTTAGGCTCAAACATTAGTTAAACAGGTATTGCGTTCTTTTCCTTTTCTCAGGGATAACTATTTCAGATTATATGAGATAGACATGATTATGGGCCCTTCAATTTATTATTGGTTAGTTTGACCATATTTTTACATACTGTATATTTGATAGTTTTGATTATTTGTACATTTCCTAGTTTTTAGTCAATATTTCATCATAATATTTGTAATAAGTATGTACATAGACAAACATAATTTATTTTGATTAGACCAATCTTGATATGTGATCCGTTTGTAAATTGTCTGTGAAATAATTGGAACAAATTTACAAAATATGATAATGTGCTAAACTGTAATTTGAAGGAAAAAAATGTGAAATTGATGATTGATGGCAATATTGCCTGTGATTGCTGCAAAGCAGTTGATAATATATTTTACTGTTTTCAAGACAACAAGGATTTTTCTTATTTTGTTTGTTCATGTTCACCTGAGAGAGAGAGAGAGAGAGAGAGAGAGAGAGAGAGAGAGAGAGAGGGGGGGGGTAGAGGAAGGTGACGTGGACGCAGAGGGTGTGTGTGAGAGACAAAGAGAGAGAAAGAGAGAGAGAGAGTCAGAGAGAGTGAAAGAGAGAGAGAGAGACAAAGAGAGAGAGAGGGAGACAAAGAGAGAGAGAGAGAGACAAATAGAGAGAGAGAGAGAGAGAGTGTGTGTGTGTGTGAGAGAGGGAACGGAGGTGAATAAATAGAGAGAAGGAGTGTGTGTGACAGAAGATGAGGGGTGTAGGGTTGAAGCAGAGCGTGCAAGAGAGGGAGACATAGAGAGATGGTGTATGTATGTGAAAGGGAGAGGGATGGAGGGAGAAAGGGTAAAGATGTGTAAGAGAGAGAGAGAGAAGGGTGGGGGGGGGGGGGGTATAGAAAGACAGTAGAAACACATTGGAAACAACTTTATCGACAACCAATCACGGGATCATTCGATCAAAAGCACCCAAACGCATTCCCAATCAATTTGCATTGCGAAATCAGACAAGGATAATTTCAGATTATTTAAATGGTATGATCCATTGTATATTTAGACAGGTAACAACAAAGGTACATTAATTAATGATGTATGCGATAAACCATTGCAAAAACCATGAAAGGGATCAAGTATATAATGACAATCGTAAGTGATGTGTAAGCTAGCAAGTACAATAAATATTGTTAATAACTAACAAAGTATTTAAAGTGGAATAAAGAAGCAGACCTTTATTAAGGTTACGTTAATGCAAAATATTCCGTTTAACGGTTTAATAAGGCGGTGTATATCGATGCCAAATATAAGTATAGGCCTTTTTATGAGGCAGTGTGTACAAAATTTAAAAAATATGCCTTTTATGAGGCAGTATATACAATTGCAATAATGATATAATTCACAAAATCTTGCCTTCGTGTAACAATTTATAAGTAATGTTTTGAAGTACATAAGTCGGCAATATGACGTGACAGTATTAAAACTTAATATTAAAGGGGATGTCAGAAGTTCGGAAAGCGAATTGGAGTTCGTCTGCGATGTTGGTTGTGTGATTCTTGGACGTTTATGCTTATCCTAGTTTGTTGATGGCGACGTCGATTGAATGGCTGCGACGTCGGATCATAAAGACGAGCGTGACGAGGAAATACTTCGACGATGGTGTCGTGACCAGTGTCGTGAAGACCGAACTAGGACGTCGTGAAGATCACACGGGGGTACCCTGACGATCGAAGAAGAGGCGATCGAGGAACTCCGCATGGTCACGTGGCGTGATGCAGTGCAGCGATGAACTGCGACCGCAGGGAAAACAACACCAAAATGAAGATTGTCGAACCCAGTTCGAAATCAGATTGTCGCCGAAACATTATGAACGAAGATGTTGATAAAATACTCTTTCGATGAATTAAAGGTGTAAGTAGACCCAGTCTACAACTAAATGTTGTAAAGGGCACAAGTGAAAACACTTTAATCCTCTATGTATCAAGAGAGCAAAAATGCCTGTTGATCGGCTGAACGTAAAACGGCGACTGGTGCTATGTGTGGCAAATCTGAGGAAACGTCCAAATGGGCCTTCGCTGATTGGATTAAATTGTTTACCGCTATTATCATAATTGCCGTTATAGTACAATATAATCTGTAATGCATATCATAATTGATTTAAGACGTGTTTTAAAGGAATGTAATATTTATGAAATACTAGAGTACCATAATGAATTTTCCTCTATCTTATTGCATGGTTACATAATTATTATACAAGCTTTAAAATTCACAATTAAAACAATTTATTTTGTCCACTCCAGGGTAATGCCAATTGTAAGGAGCTATAAAAAGCAGAGGTTATAGTATATTATGTTTTATGTAAACACAGTAATGAGCAAGTCCACGCAAATTTGCCAAAAAAGACGAGATACCGGCCACATCTTAGTTTTTTAATATATCTGACTCCTCTATCAAACTGCTAGCTTTAGCAGAGCTTTAAAGTCTTGTTAAATACGATCGCAACTTTGTTCCAAAAATCAACTTGGACTATTTTTAAATAACTTCTTTTACCACATGCTAATGTCTGCACATTTCTTTTACGTCTATAGATGACGCACAAGGCTATATAATTTTTTTTTTATAAAGATGAGTTTACGAAAGGAGCTGCAGAAAAAATATTCAGCTGCTTCTTTCGTAAGTAGATTATTTTTGGAGTGGACTTGCCCTTTAAAGCTACTCCAAAATTGCGTAATTTGTATATACACATTCGTGAAAGACGCGACGGGAGAGACATTTATCACTGTTTATGATGAATATCCTATTCGTTTAAGGTTTCCCGCGACTGCACGTTCTCCCGTCAGGTCGCTCAAATCCCTCGCCATGGTCTCCCGAACGAGTTCGTCTTTGAGGAGGTGTCTGAGCACGGGCTTTTCCTGTTCCAAGCACCGTTCCTCGATCGCCTCGGCGATCTCGTCAGCGCTCGACATCTTCGACACTGAGAATGAGCGTTGAAGCTTAGCCAGATGACGACGGTCCATTTCATCGATTTCCTCGTCGCCCAGCAGGTCATTGACGCTCTCACACACATCGTCATCCAGGCCGGTACCAACGCGACCGGGCTCCACCAGACAAACTCTGATCAAAATGAAGAGTGATGAACATGAAAAGAGGAAAAAGTGAGAAAAGGTTATAAAATAATTAAACAAGAAATGTATAATGGCGCCGGTATAAGCCTGAATTTGACCCCAAGGCGCTTTTACACCGCATCTAGCTAGTAGAAAAGAGATAGTTGTGATCAGGGGCGGCGATTTCTTTTCATGACATGGGGGGGGGGGCGAAATGCGAGGGATGAGGGTGCATAGTGAACGAGAAGGGCAAAGAGGTGACGGAAGTGATGACCCTCTCATAGGTTTTTGAAGTTTTGTTGTATTAAAAAATCACATTCCTTAGGAAAACTTTAGTATTATAACAAACAATATCCTTTTTTCACACTTCACTTTTACTTTGCCGGTAATTAGTATGCAGTCCAAAGGGTTGTACATATTCAGTAGGTACATTTTAGTAAGTAGGGAGCTTGGGCATGGAGTGGATTTATATTTAACCCTCTAGTCCTCTGCCATGTACATGTACATTGGTATCGCTACGGCAGTTGAAATGGCAAATAATTCTATAGATAATAATTAACCAATGTTACGGCATACCTGTAACATGCAAAATGGCACTTTTTGTAGCACTTAATCTTGTAAACATACAGTGTAAACTGTGCTCACGTGATACCAACGGAAAACAGATTTTCTACAATATTAACACGTACATTTTGAAGGATATTATGCGAGGGGGTGTAGGTCTAACTACCGAGCGAGAAATTTTTGGCATTTATTAGTCTAACGCTGCACTCTTGGGCCCTCCAGTATTTGCTATACATTTATTTTTTGCATTTTATCAAATTTTCCGGGGAGCGGGGGCGATCCCCCTATAAATAAATGAGGAAGGATGTCCCCCGTCTCCTGGGATCACCGCCCCTGGCTGTGATACGCACCAGTGGCGGATCCAGGGGCCCCCTGCCCCCCCCCTTGAGAAAAAAATCATGTAAAATCACGTGATTTTTACCTCTTGGGGGGGGGGTTGGCCCCCCCCCCTCCCCCCTGGCGCTCAAGGGGGGGGGGGGGTGCAAATTTTAAAAAAATTAAAAATGTGCTTACTACCCCCCCCCCCCCCCCCCCCCCCCCCCCCCCCCCCCCCCCCCCCCCCCCCCCCCCCCCCACTGAGCGACTTTTCGGTCGGCGCGATTTTCAAATTTTCGGGAGCAAAAAATAAATAAGAAAGTTGGGTCCCCTCCCCTAAGAAATCCTAGGTCCGCGCCTGATACGCACAATATATTAACTAAATTTATGGAAAACCGAAAACATTCCCTACCCCCAAAAGGGCCTCCATCATAGACATTGCGTCTGGGGGATTATAGATTGGCCTTTGATGGGATAAAGTGTGGCGTGATCAACTAGTCTATACAATTTGAATCAATAATGGTATACGGTGCATTTAGGTAAAACCGAAAACATACCCTTCATCATAGAGATTGCATGCAAGGGGAGGGAATTATAGATTGATCGTGGGTATATCAACAGTCACTATTCAATTCAATTCACGTAACGCACAAGTGATGGGAAGATCAACTATTCAGTTCAATTCAATAATGGATGCATCGCAGCGTCAAAGGATGAAATGTTTACATCGTCTTGAATACATATTTCTTTACAAAACAAGAATGACATTGGAATTTATAAAGCCTTTGCTTCTATTTCAGCTATTCTTGAAAACACCAGGACACCGCAATATAGAAATGGTCTCTCCATTAGGAGCGTCTGGGTGTGGGAAAACCATTTTATTGGTGGTTAAAGTTGAATATTTTAGCCCCGCGGCGGGCCCCGCCGCAGAAGAGGCGTTGTTCTCTTGTGCCATTCAGGAACACTTATACATTCCCTTCTTACTGTATAGGATTGTATGCAAGTTTGACTTGTTAAGGTTTGGGAGTCAAATTGGTGGAGCGATGATAGACATAGTGTTACCGTAACGGAGGAAATACGCATATTTCAAAGGGCAGTCATAATTTTACAACTCATCATGTTATTAAAAAAAAGTGCACAATTGACTTAAAGGAAAAAACACCACACATTTTTGTTAACAGGCAAGTGCCCCCCCCCCCCCCCCACCACAGTTCCACCGCCCTTGTACATGAAGCAGAAAAAGAAAGAAAGTTTTAAAAATGTCGTCCAGAAAGGGGGAAATAAGATGTCGTTTGCCAAAAAAGGACCTATTCGACTGATAAGGGGAGGGATAGAAAAAGAAAATAGGGGCAATTGCAAACTGCAGTCTAGGCCGTACCAGAAGGGGCATTCCTCCCTCCCCCCCCCCGACAAAAGCAGCAACAGTATTTATCATGTTGTGTACGTCTTTAAAACATGAAATAAAAAAGTGGTAAAATATCATAATTCGAATAATTAAAAAGATATTTGTTTTAAATCACGAAGTGTGAAATAACAAACTTTGGTCATTGGGGGTAGACGTGTGCCTGTTCAGCGTTTTTTCTTTTGTGTGTGTGTGTGTGTGTGTGTGTGTTCATGCACGAATTGCCGGGTGGTGGTGCATGTGTTCATGCCACAGAGTCATCAGTTTTATAAATGTAAACTTTTCAACTATCTGTACAATGATATAATTGCATGATTTTGTTGCCTCATAACCATAGTACAAACAGTCATTAAAGTTAGTAAAATGCAAAATATGTTATTTTTCGAAACCAGCGAAAAATTGACTTGCTCGTATTAATTAAGCTCTATGTGTGAAAGTTGTAATTTTGTATTTACCAGTTAAAGTCATTTTATTTAATATGTATTGATTTAGCTTGACATTGCAATAATAGAACAACAGAGGGCGTTTGGTCAAAGATTACTTTGACAGTTCTTATTTAAAGTTTTTCTAGTTTGAAGGTCAGAAACTTGTTTGGCGCCACCTGTTGTTGGCTGATTTGAAATGATCATGTTTGCAACATGATTTATGTTATGTGAGGAAAATCTGTGGTTTTCTGGAGCATCCTTTGTTCCTGAGAGCTGTTTCTACAGTATTATGGAGGCACAGAGGTTAGTTAAACCACATATTTGAGCATTATGAAAATGAATGTCAAAAAGGTAGTTTTTAAGATGTTTACATTGTATGAAACTTACACAGTAGCACAGTAATTTGTATGGCAAATGTATAACATGTGTATACTGTGTACCCACACATAGGATAGACTAGAGATATCTATTGCACATTTAATATGTCATTACATCTATAATTGATGTTTAGTTTTACTTAAAGTTGAAAGAAGTATAGTCAAGTAAAATATATGATGCAGAATAAGACATTCTATGATGAAAAGGGATGAGGAATGTGAGCATACTTGTGTGAATGACAGGTCAAGGTCATGACTTTGTTATTGTATTCCTTGACTATGATAAAGTCATTCAAGCTCGTTAAATATGGTTACATTTTTAGTTGAAACCGTATTAAATCTGGTTTGGACATGATAGAGATGATATAAGTTTAATTGTGTGTTAGCTGTGACATTCTACATAAAGTTCAGATAGATTTGTCAAGACAGTGTCTGACTTATATAAGATTTACAAGCAAACATGAAAAGGAGTTATAATTCAGACAATGTCTTTGATTTAGTAGAATGCTATATCTGCTTTAATATTGTGGAACTTATATCCATGAACACATACTTATTATGCATTCCTGTTATGCTTTATCATGTACAGTTTTCACGGAGTGAAGGGAAGAAGAACGGAATAAAGCAGTTGAAGGAGTAAAGATAAAAGATTCGTTCATCAAAGACAGAGTTGCTTTCCCCTCGATGGTTATGACTCTAAAATAAACTGACACTCCCGTAAAAACCTGAGTCGTTGTAATTATTCAGCGTTTCGCCTCACAGACAGTCACACTATGTTTAAGGATACAGAAATGTTAAATCATGTTGCTCAAAATGGTTCCCTCCCATGTACAATCTCTATGAACGAGAACTATTGAGAACTGCATAAAATGACGTACGAATCAGAAGCAAATTCAGGTGATGTTATTATCTCTCTCAACTCAAGTAGTTATGACTTTACCTACCGAATATTGAATGGGCGCACACCTGCGGCCAAAGATTCGAAAAAGCCTTCAATTGCGAACTTGGTCGCACAGTAAAAGTCGTAGTATGGTCGCCCTGAAGAGAGAGAGAGAGAGAGAGAGAGAGAGAGATCGAAATATTCAAACTAACAACATGTGTTTAAAATTCGCATTCCTACAATATTCAAAGGGAATCTCACGCCAAGAAATAACTTAAGTTATTTTGAGAGATGTATTTTATGTTTGCCCTTCAATCTACAAGATTTTCCAACAAACTAAACCAAGATATTATGAGCACAATATCAAGTTTTTAAACACGACATGAGCATCGCCATTTTCTTGATAACGTGACGTAATGTGCGAAGTTGTTTATCAAGTAAACGTTTTCAAATTTATGGATGCTTCTTCCACAGGGGTGTGTGGTAATGCCATTTTTCATTCACCTGCTATTCCTATTAGCCTTTGTACTACATTTGGGGCTCTTCTGGGGCAAAGGTTTCGCATAAATGAAATAGATCTGTCCCAGATCTGTCAACTGCTATACTTTTGTAATCTTTAAATAAGCAGGTTTCAGTTGTTCCCCTGTTATACAGTGCGTTTACAAAAGTGTATCAAACTGTGGTGGCTCCTGATTAAAAATTCATAACCAATATGACTTTGAATCTTTATTTCATGACGATGTGTAAGTTTTTTCTTCTCCAAAGGTACAGTAGGCCTATTCACAATATTTCTGTCACGGGTGACAAATAGCCTTGTTGCAATTCATATAGGATAACTTTTAATTATTTTGAACAGCCTATTAACTTCTTTTCTCGTATTATTTAAGTTCTCTCTGCTCACATGTCCGCTGCGCCATTTCACACGCGTAATGTGCATTAAGCATGAATGAAAACCTTATGTAAGATAAAAATAAAAACAAAATGAAAGTAGACTTTCATTAAAAAAAAAAGAAGATACCATCCTAAATAAACTCTAACAATTATACGGTATATCACTCAACGAAAAGCATTACGTTAAACATAAGATGCGAATGAGGTCAAGATTGTAATCATCATAATTCGTTATTTTTCATTTTGTATGTGTTCATTCTTGCTTTATGCTCCATGAGTGTGTGAAAGGGCGCAGCGGACGTGTGAGCAAAGAGAACTTAAGCTACGGTCACAAATGTTTGTACGAACGATGCGTTTGTACGAATCGTTCGTACGGCGTTCGTAGCAGTTCGTAATGGCATTTGTGACCGAGGCTTTAGATATCATGAGACAAGAAGTTAGTAGGCTGTTCAAAATAATTAAAGGTTATCCTTCATGAATTGCAACAGGGCTATTTAAAAGCCCAGAAACATGGCATCATTTTAAATAACCGGAATTTTGCTTGACATGGGGGAGGGGGGGGGGAACGAACGGTGTAAGTAAAAAATATAAAAGATAACCACAGCGTTATTAAAGGCTCTACCTTGTCTTCCGAGACCGCTTGAAACAGCAACAATTTTTCCAGCTTTCTTCTCTTTCATATGCGGCAGGACCGCCTGAGTGACCCTTATAGTCCCGATCGCGTTCACGCTAAAGATTTGATCAATCTTTTCCCGCGGTATCAGCTCGGGAATCCCGACGACGATCAATCCTGCGTTGTTAACTGTAAACAAACAAAGGCGTATCAAATAATGTGGCGTTAATCAACCTTTCATGTGTACGGGGAATGATACGGGCAAAATAGTCACAAATAAATAGAAAACATGCACCTTGTATTAACAAATATCTTGCATAATATTTTATTACCCAGGCCCGTACAAAAAGGGGGTTTGGGGGTTCGCGCGAACCCCCCCCCCCCCCCTCCCCCTCCTCTAACACAAATTGATAAAAATTGTTGTTGGTGTTGTTGTTGCTTAAGTGGGGGAGGGGGGAGGTGGGGGTGTTGATTTAGAAAATAAATTTGCTCTATAACCCCCCCCCCCCCGCTTATTGGCCGCTAAATATTCATTGGGCTTGGTCGCTCCCTCGCAATGTCTCACTCTCACCTTTGACTCAAAGTTGCAACCTAAGAACCCCCCCACTTAAAAAAATCTTGTACAAGCTTGTTACCAATTTTATTAACATTAACAGTTTAACAAAAATGATCAATACACTGCAGGTTGTGATCTTTATGTTCAAAAACTCCATAAACCTATTTCCTCCGGCGTTCCACAGACTTTTTGTTACATACAACACATTGCATTCTTATCCGACACGAAACTCTCAGAACGTTCATTTGATAAACCAAAAATAGCTAATTGTGTATACTCACGTACTACGATATGTTTTTTTTTCTAGGCTGCCAAGAAGCGCAAATTTTTATACAAATCATAATTTAATAAGCACTCCAAAAGCAAGCACTTGCACACATACTTGAACATGCACATACATATATAAGAACATGCACAGTTAAAGACGTTTCATTATTACAAAGACATGTACTTACATGTACATATTATACATTGTTACGAATATGCAAATTAGATGATTTATGAATATGCAAAATTCCAAGATGTGGCTCGAGTTGAGAGCAATAAACGGATCAAAGGTAACCAAATCATCTTGATTGTTCTTTATTTATCAAAATAATTCTGCGTTGTGGAAGGGCTAATTGCCCCGACCCAACAACATTTTATGCCTTTTTAGAGAATTAATTAAATCTTCATTATGTGGCTGATATGGCTAATAAATTTGTTTCTGATTATATAAATTATAGTTTTACCGCCCATGTAGGTTTCTTTCCTAAGGCCGTCATCACGTTCAAGCTCTAGCCTTTTTTTTTTCTTCAATTTTGCAATGATTTGTCAACTATTTGTTTTTTTTTCATTCAGAGGTTACGAGTATTATTATCTAATTGATTTATATTATGTCATGATTATACATGTATTTTGACTGTAAATATTGATTATGTACCTCGTTTGTACATTACCCTATGTTATATTGCAAAATGCACAAACATTCAAACAAACAAACATGTCAGGCATTTCAGAAACAAACGGGTATTTTGCACGGACCACGACACATTCGCTTATACCCGATAAAAATACATTGTAGCAAAGGAATATTACTTGAGTAGCGCTGGACTGGTAAAGAAGGGTTGATAGGTGTAGAAAAATGAAAAATAAATTAATAACACCAAAAGCAAATATCACATCATCAAAATAAACGCAACGTTTTTGTTGTTGGAAGAAACAAAAATAAGTTCCCAGATCTTGAATTTATCAATTACTATTCATGGTTCTAGGACACCTACCCCCTGGACATCCACCCCGGATAACCACCCTCAGTCAACTACCCCTTAGGACAACTACCCCCTAGGACAACTAACCCCTAGGGCGACCACCCTCTAGGACGACTACCCCCCTCAGGACAACTACCCCCTAGGACAACTAACCCCTAGGGCGACCACCCTCTAGGACGACTGCCCCCCCCCTCAGGACAACTACCCCGGACATCCACCCCCAGACAACTACCCCCTACGACAACCATCCGCTAGGACATCTACCCCCGGACAACTATCATAGGGGGTAGTTTTCCGGGGGTAGTTATCCCGGGGGTAGTCGTCCTAGAGGTTGGTTGCCCTAGGGGGTAGTTGAGTGGGGTTGGCTATCCGGGGGGTGGATGTCCAGGGGGTAGGTGTCCGGATACGACCATTCATACCCACGGTTAAAGCATATCAGTATATATTTATGAAAGAAGAATATTAGCAGATTTTATAAGGAATTCATCTTAGGGTAGGGTCAGGGAATGAAAAAAAGAAGAAGTAAAACAAACAAACAAACAAAAATCACTTACTCAAAACATCGATTCGTCCATAGGTATTGACGACGTTGTTCACCACGTAAGAAATATTCTCATCGTCCGTTACGTCCAAAGCTTGAATGAAAACCGTTTTATCGAGGGCGTCGCCCACGGCAGCCACCAACTCGGCCTTCTCCGACATCGAAATCACGGTGGCGATGACGATGTATCGCTGATCGCGGTCGAGGGCGAGGCGGGAGGCGATGGCGAGTCCGATACCCGCCGAGCAGCCGGTAATGAGTACGATATGAGGAGCCATGATGGGGTGAAATCAAGTTATTCAGGTGTATGCTATGTGTTCTCGATTGGGACAAATGAACACTATGACCGTGGAATGTAAAGGTTGGTGCACCTTTATATTTGCACAATTATATGAATGGCGTGACGCAGGGGCGGTTCAAGCCGGCGGCGAGGGCGGGGGCCCAAGGAGGGGGGGGGGGGGGGCAATTCGTGAAAAAAATATTTAGCGGCGAATCAAGTAAACTTTTTCTTTCTCCCTCTTTCAACTTCTCATATTTACAATGATGGTACATTTTTACATATTAATATACATATAGATTAATTTGCACAAAAAAATACACTACCAAAGAATACACCAATACACCAAATTTCGAAGGTCAACAGGTCATGTTCTTAAACCAGAACGGCGTGGGTAGGCAGAGTCTTACTTCTCGGGGGCAGGGAAAGAGGTGAATGTTGGGCGTGCCTCCACCGAATGGAGAGACAAATAACGGAAGAGGGGAAAGACAAAGCCCTTTCTTCTACGCACCCCTCTCTCGGTGTGAGGGGGTACAGTGCGTATACTAAGCTACTAAAGTTAGGTATACTTTTTTTGATACCCACTGTATAAACGCGATGTATTCGCAAAATGTCACCCACTTATTATTTCGTACTCAATATCCAACAAGAAAAATAAATAAAAACCACAATCTCATAGATGAAACGACAAACACAAAAGATCCTTCCGCAGAATCAATGAGCCATATTTTCAAAGATAAATATGAATCCTCGCCTGTCAGTGATAATGTCAAGAGCAAGACCAGTCAAAATATCAATCTATAGAATACCGTGCTAACGCCATTCTTGAGCACAAAGTTGTTTGGAACCAGCAAGCATGACATATTTAATAGCCAGTATGTCGTCACGCGTACGTCGGTGCTGCTCGATATTTCAGGTCGTCCCTGTAGACCGGCAGCCACCAAACATCGACAAATCCACGAGACCAAAATCCATAAAACGGATAATGTAGGTCTCGTGATCCCTAATAATAGAGTGACAAAAAGAACGACAGTCCAAGAGACCGATAATGTTGATCTCGTGATCTATCCGAAAGGAGACTTCGAGACCGACCGTCCTACAGACCGAAAACTGAGGTATAATTAATCCTTGGAGACAAAAAAAAAAAAAAATATCGTCGGAAGTCTCATGAACTTTCTGATAAAGTTTAAGAAGGCCGTCATCATTGGTTGTGTGGACTCTTGGTCTAGTGGTTATAAAGCTGGCACTTCTTTTTTAAAAAATCTTCTCTGTTTTTTCTGCTATAAGTTAGATCCTACGTACAAATGATGTTATTTTGCATGAAATAATCTTTCATCTTTAGGCCTACCTGAACTCAATATAACATGTAAAAAGGTCACACAAGTGCTTTTATTTAGTCCATTTTCTTTTGCATAAAAAATACAATTTTGACATTTTAGGAAAGATTTGGGGAAAATGGCTCATAATATGTGGTACATACATTGGTAAAGAGTTTATTATTTCTTGAATAATGGAGCCATAACACATCAACCTAAGCCAACACACTCATCAAAAGAAAATGGACACTCTTTATTGTCCAAAAATCTCAAGTAAGCCCTCCATAAAATATAATAAAATATATATGAAATCAATTAAGTTTAAAACTGTTAAGCTAGGATAGGCATATTCATTCAGCCATTGCCATTAGAAAGGTCTGATTAAGAAAATAGAGCAAGTAGCCATACAAATATCAATGAGCATGTCTATCTGAAAGATATTCGTGTTCAACAATGACAACAAAATAGTAGACACAGTGCGGAGAATTTCAAATTTCAAATGATTTTATTGCTCATGCAAAACATAATACAATGAATAAGTATATTACAAACAAAATATGCAATAAAACGACAAATATAATAGAAATAGCACGATAAAAGAGGAAACTAACTAGAAGCAGAGGTTGTTGAAGTGTTAGTTCTTCAGATGCTGTTTTACAATATAACATGAACAAAGTATACTAAGAAAATCAATAAATAGAAAAATATGGATTTTTGGGGGGGAAAATGGAGGAAAATAGTAGAAGGCAAAAGTAAGAAAGATTTTTTTAAAAAAGAGGAAAATGAATGATTGCAAAAGCTCTAGAAGAAGGAGGTTAGATCATTAAACTGAGGGAGAGAGAATGAGTCGAGAGTCAAACAAACCAAGATTCATGTTTATGTGTTTAGAAATTGAATTTTTAGTTTTTTTAAAATGTGTATAGACCGGTACTTTGTTTAAGAGATGGATCTATGGTTGCGTTTATCGACCAAATCCATTAAATAAGTATTGTCCTCTGACATCTTGTCAAATAATAGTCATGATATCTTTTCCCCATCTATTGTAGATAGGGGTAAGAGGACACTTTTTTTTGGGGGGGGGTGGGGTCCTGAGAGTACATTTCCACGTCATGGGACTATTAAACTAAATAGGCCTTCTTCATAATACAGTTAATCTTAATGTATATTTTACTCTCATGTTTTTTTCATCGCCTGTTTATTATTTGAGATATTATATTTTAATAGCCAGAAGGTAGTTCAAGGAGAAAGCTCAGTTCTAGTGAGAAATAATTTTACGAGCTTTCCCTGTTCTGTGCATGCCAGTTTGAAAGAAAAAATGACTGAAAAGGACTGCTCTTAAAACACCCACGCCAGGCACTTTTAAAGTGTACATGTTCAGTACACTCGCCCACTGTGGCGTTATAGATAGGTACACAAACGGCTTCAACAAGGAAAAAGTGTTGCTGACTCCTAAGTATAGTTAATGCTGAAACCGATGCCACTGACTGATTTTTGAAAGTATGTGCCCAAAGTCCCCACATTTCATACTTTAGGGGTCAACAGGTGTTTTTATGCATTTAAGGAGAAATATTTGGGCTGAAAATGTTTTTTTGGTGTAGAAAACCCACTATGGACAATACGATTGAGTCCGTATTCGAGAGATTAAATGTCTTTCAACTTCGGGGGCCCTCGTTTGTCCGAAGGTTCGTTAATACGAAAATTCACAATTTCAAAGGGTCGTAATTCCGAAACACAAATTACCAATTCCCGGGGGTTCACGATGCCGAAATAAAATAGGTTTCAAAAATTCAGAAAATGAAACAGGGTTCATATTAGAAAAAAAGACATAGACCTAGTACACTCTTGCAGTGGCATTCCACTCCATGTCTTTATGTTCCCCTTCCAAGTTAGTTCTTGGTTTGGGATTATGGATCTTCGGAAAAACAACTTGTAACTTTGACTATTTTGCTTTTGTTTGATTATTCTCATCTGGATCGTTCTTTTTACAGGAACCAATGCAAGGTGGACAACGCGTTTTCTAGGTCAATTTTTGAAGCATGGCTGGCTTTCAATTGAACGAAACTTGTATAATATGTTTATTTATCTCCATAATAGGTCCATATGATGGCTTTGCCTGACCCAAATATATTCCACAGTTCAATGAATTCCGAAAAGTGGGCAGGTTTGACCGATTCGAATAATACTTCAGTGGCGGATCCAGGATTCCTTGGTGGATGGGGGGGGGGGGGGGGGGGAAGAATGGGCACAAGTCCAAGATTTCTGTGGCAAGTTATTGGTAAACATCCCATCATCATTTTGTACCTATTAAAACCTTCTCAATAACGAACCGTACTTTCATAATTGGAATTCTATACATTCTATCTTTCAAGGTATCTTCTCCAACCTCGGACGTTGATTAGATAGATGAGATAGATAAATGGTATTTTATTGCATCTTTCATGAATGGCAGTTTCACAACTGAATTGCACATGAATTACACGAATTGGATATATACATTGTAAAAACTTACATAACATTTAGTTTAAAATTATTTAAACGTGTCACGTTACTAGTGCCTAAATACCATAAACAATTAATCAAAAAAGTTAATGATTGCAACATGTATCCACACATCTCTGTTTTCTGCCATCCTAGTACACCCTTGCAGTGTCATTTGAATATGATATGATATGATATGATATGATATGATTCTACTCCATGTCTTAATAATGTTTCCCTCTTGGGCTGGTACCTTCTACTTTTGCTGCCAAGAAATCTTTTAAGATTCATCGGAATTATGAATGCAATTTCATTTTAGGAATTACCAGCTTTTTGAATTTGAACCCTATTTCATTTTCCGAATCATGAACCTTTGGATAAACGTACCTTTTGAATGTAGGAAAAAAGTATGGAATTACGTAGTTTTAAAATCACGATTTTTTAAAAGGAATTATGGATCTTCGGAAAAACGACTTGTAACTTTTACAACTTGTGCTTTTGTTTGATTTTTCTCATCTGGATCGTTTTTTTTACAGGAACAAATGCAAGGTGGACAAAGCGTTTTCTAGGTCAAATTTTGAAGCATAGCTGGCTTTCAATTGAACGAAACTTGTATAATATGTTTATTTATCTCCATAATAGGTCCATATGATGGCTTTGCCTGACCCAAATATATTCCACAGTTCAATGCATTCCGAGAAATGGGAAGGTTTGACTGATTCGAATAATAATTCAGTGGCGGATCCAGGATTTCTTGGTGAGGGATGGGGGGGGGGGGGGGGGAGAATAGGCACAAGTCCAAAAATTCTGTGACAATTTAATCAAACAAAGCAAGATATAACAATAAAAATAGCTGTGGTCTATCAAATACACCAGGGCCCTGTCTTACAAACAGTTGCGATTGATCCAAATCAATCGCAAGTCCTCCAATCAATCGCAAGTTTGCAGTCTCCTATCTCTCATGTACATATTTGCTATTGATATCAATCGCAAATAAGTTGTGATTGATATCGACTCTTTGTAAGACGGGGCCCAGCGCTCAAAAACAATCCCGCCATCATGTTGTACCTATAAGTATATATGTCTAGATAATATTCAAAACACTTTATATCAAATTACAACTACATTCATTCAATCTCCTTATTAATTTCACTACTGGTCATTTGAATATGTTTTCTTTTTTAATTTAAAATGTGATATTATATCTTATGTAAGATATCGATAGATTACTGGATAATTTGTTCTGAATGGCTACATTCCATGAAACTGTCAATGACAGTTTAGCGGGCCTTCTGAAACAATTTTTGAGGGTACAAAGAACCAACGGCCAGCGAGTCCGACAGCCTACTAGACCAACAGCCCATGGGACCGACACTGTCGGTTTCGTGGGCCTTTTAGCCATTTTTAAGAGGTTTCATCAGACCGATTGACAACGAGACTAACATCATCCTGTTTACCCTTGTGTTTTTCTAGTGTTCTTTCGGTCCCATGGAAGTTTTGTCGATATCGTTCTCGTGGGCTGGCGGTCTAGCGGGTTGTCATACTTGTATGTTAAGTGAGCTTTATGTCAGTGTCTGTCTAGAGAGTTGTCGGTCTAATGGGATGTCGCTGTTATGAATATTTTGTTGTTTTATGGTATAAGAAAAAAACAAAGGGATTTTTAAAAACAGAACTTGTACATATATTATGTGGAACAATACAAATAAATTAAACTTTGAATTTTATTTGATTTAACTCATTTATTGGTTCCTCCATTCATAATTTTCAAACATATATTTTTATGAACACGTAAGTCGTCTGTTCGTAGCAGAAAGGGCATGAACTCATTTAAATCAACACAAAAATAACGCCCTTTGGCTCAGAACAGACAATGCATTAATTCGGAACAACGATTTTGCGGATACAAAGATGGAATGAAACAATCACGTTGAATACATACACAGGAGGGCTACAGCATATAAGTGGGTAGCTTGACGTCATAGAGATCTCTATTAGATCTCTATGCTTGACGTGCCTGCTGCCCCCAACGACATTGCATTCGTTCAAAATGCAATCAAATGACCAGTAGCCAATTTCGTATTAAAAACTTCCACAAAAAAAGCATCAAAACACCGACTAAAATATTTAAATCCACATGACTTATCGACGTATTCATGAACGATTTGAATTGATTATTTAACAACTCTTTCATTGATGACTGTACATTTCAAATTGATTATTTAAGCTATGTTGGATATGTAATACATTGTACAGCTTTTGGAGAGTTTGAATGACAGTTTGCATGAAGCTGGATCTCAGAAAACAGTCTGGAATATTTCATCAGCTCATGTATCAATTAGTATGATATTCGAAGAAGTGAAATTTAGTTGGGTCTAGCAAGTTTTTATTGTGTGATTTACATAATACAGTTTGTGAATATAAAGGGACCCTCTCAAGCGCAATGCAACTTTCTAGGGGAATTCCCGAGCGCTCTTATTTATGATCAATATATTTTCTCATTTTAATATGGAAATGACCTTCCTCATGTATACCATGCAATCTATAGGCCTACTTCAACTTATAATAACAATCTGGATTTATAAAGCTATAAATACATCTCTACGCGTCTTAACAGATATTAGTGATACATTTTTTTTTTTTTTTGGTGAAGTAATCCAGAATGATGTATACAATGAATAAAAACAATTGTCGTCTGTCATTGCTTTTAAGTTTGATTCAAAACAACCCCAGGGTGAAAACGAATATAGGCCACGTTCTGTGAAAGGACTACATTTCATTAGAAATTGTGGTATCCTTAAAATATTCTGATATTATTAAAATCATTGGAAAAGCAACCATCGTTGTCATGCAACTCTCTTAAAGCGTATCTGCAATATTTTATAGGAGGGATAAGACCGCGCTGGAAGGTTACTGGACAGGTGGTTATCTCATCAACTCAGCTCGCAATTAACATACGAAAAAGAGGATCATGGGGGACCAATGGTCACCGATTAGGCATTGTTTTCTATATAGAGGGAGCAAGTAGCTACAAGTAGGACAGTGTGGCTTCAATATGAGAACCTTGATAATCTCAATTTGACATTTTAACAACTTATGTGATGGGTATTATTCACACAGAATAATGTACGTCATTTGCTTGAAGTTGAATTGCGTCAATGACTAATGCGATCTCTGATGTGGCATGTGAGATTGATGTTGGTACAAAAAGTGCTTGCAAAAGAAACAGATCAAACAATGCGTTCATAACTTGTGCATCAGAGCCATCTTTACACAGAGTTTGGCCAACGCGGTTCGAGTTGGACACGGTGGCCCGAATTCACAAAGCAAGGTTTGAGCTCAAACCTCCTTTTGTTCCGCCAAACCAGGTTTGTAAATAACAAAAGGAGGTTTGGCGGAACAAAAGGAGGTTTGAGCTCAAACCTTGGTCTGAGCTCAAACCTTGCTTTGTGAATTCGGGCCAATATGGCGACTACTGTTTTGTTGGACAAGCACAACACAAAAGAATATACGCCATGTTGGGACACAGTGAAACCAAGTTGGCAAACTATGTGCATATATGGCTCTGATGTGCATGTGCTAATTGCGCCCTCATAGTATCGATTATCCCAGGCGATAACGCAATGGTACTGATCCTTTGTGTGCAGAGGGCATTAGTGTCCCAGTTGTTGGCGCATGAAGGCTACCCCGCGTTCTCCCGTCAGGTCCGCCAATACCTCGGTGGCTTCTTTCATAAATTTGTCTTCCAGAAGGAGGTGTCTAAGCACGGGTTCATCCACGTCCAAACACCGCGTGGTCAGGTCCGCTGCGACGTCATCCGCGCTTCGGGTTTTGTCCATGTCGGACACGTCACGATTGAGACCGACGAGTTGGCGATGGTCGATCTCGTTGACGGTTTCGTCGTTTATCAGCCTCTTCATGTCATTTTGGAGACCTCCTAAAAGCCCGGTAGCGATGGGACCTGGCTCGACTAGACACACCCTATAATAATATCATAATAGGAAAAGAAAAGACAAGGGAGGAGACCAGGCCTCATTCTACAAGACGAAGAATAAAAGGTGCCTATGAGAATAGATGATACACATAAAATGTGGGAAAAGATGATTTCGACAAGACATTTTGAAAACCTCTTGTTCAGTCATCCGGGAAAGGAAAGGTAGGAATAAGGTAGGAATAAGGCCTCGTACACATATATTACGCAGTAAAACTGCATCGTTTGAAACAAAACAAAAAATTTGTTGCGCGTAGTTGTCATTCATTTACACATTTAAAAAAAACCGCGGTGAATTTTTTGGAGCAGCAGTTTACCGCGTGATATCTGACCGAGCCTTTATTTTCTTTCTCCTTATTCTAAAATAGAGCTTAAGTTACAAGTTCCATTTATACATAGGTTTCAAAGTGGGGCCCTTTTTTTGGACGCACGTTGTAGAGCTCTTGCCTCTATACCGATTTTTGTTCTTCTTCATCATGAACTAAATGTCATGGGAAATATATACACGCTCCGTTTGTGTATCTTTTTTTAATTAAACTCCAATTCATGTATTTAGACTTGTTTGGTTTTTACTGAACGTCTGGTTAAATACAAACAAGTAATTACTTAAAACTCATCACTGTTGCATATGAGAGCGTCATTTTCGATCGTATTTTAACTTTCACTCATCGGTTCTAACTCAATATCACTATCACATGCCGCGGTATAGACCGCATTATAGTAACTGACGCAATCGGGCAAATGACGCCTCATGAGTATTAACGGGCTCTAGGTATATAGTTCTTACCTTATGCTGAAAGCTCTCACGCTGGCTGCTAGAGCTTCGAAAAAACCCTCTACGCCGAACTTTGTTGCACTGTAAATATCGAAGTATGGCCAAGCTGAGGACAAAGAGGGAAATAAAAAGGATTTTATTTTTAAAGAGTAAGGGGGAAAGAGAGGGAAATAGTGATAGAAAGGGAGTGCATGGCGAATGGAAGGAAGATGAGGGAAGAGAGTTAAAAAAAAACCCATAGGAGTCAAAGAAAAATGAGAGACAAAATAAAGTCCTGTTAGAGAAAGACAGAGCGAAAGAGAGAGAGAGAGAAGTAGAGACAGAGAGAGAGAAGCAGAGAGAGAGAGAGAGAGAGTGTGTGTGTGTGTGTGTGTGTGTGAGAGAGAGAGAGAGAGAGAGAGAAAGAGTGGGGGAGGGGGGGGGGGCGTTACCTTGCCTAGACATGTCGCTCGATACAGTCACAATTTTCCCAGCTTGTCTTTCTTTCATGTGAGGCAAGACCGCCTGCGCGAGTCTGATAGGTCCGATTGTATTCACATTGAACAATTTGTCGATCTGTTCCCGCGTGACTCTTTCGGGAATCTCGTTAAAAGCAAGTCCTGCAACGTTGACTGCAAAAAGGGGGAGAAAAGACAAGTTGCAGTTATTCTAAACTGTAAATTACTGGCCAAGTTTAAGTTCGTGTTATTCTATTTACTTCTACAGTCTACAGTCTATCAAATGTTTGGTTTTGATCGTACACGTGACCAGGCATTTATTTTTTCTAACACGTAATTTTATTAATTACCGGTCATTAGCCAATAGTAAAATCATGTTATAAAACATACTTTTTTATAAACATCATCTTATAAAACAAATAACACACACAATTTTGTTCGGGTATTAGTAAAATTACCCACATGCTGTACCTTGTGTGGGTAATTCGTACTTAAATGCTCCCACTGCTATGTATTATTTGTATATTATATACCTCTCTGCATAAATTTTGCTGAGATCCCCAATGTGTTACGTGTAAAAAGTTTCTTTGTGCGAGCGCGGATACCATACAGTGCTTTTTGTCTGCGATTCCCGAATGATCGAACTATTCAGGCAACTTTCCAGCGAAGATTTACTGACATTGTTTCATAATTTCTGTAATGTTTGAACCAGTCTTTATTAAGAAAAGGATAAGGTAAGAATTATTTGTAGATTTGATAGTGAATTTGGTATATAAAAGATACATCGACTGCTTTAATATTCAAAGCGTAGCTGTTTCTATTGTGGCTCTCGGGGACGTTGCATCCTGATATGACCCCGACGCGCGCCGGGGCGTCCCTTAAGCCTATAGAAAAAGCGATGCCTCTCATAGCAGTCAATATATATATATATATATATATATATACTAATAAATTGTGTGCATGCGCTAAATATCTTTAAATCCGAAAGAAATGACTTACTTAAGATGTCGATTCTTCCTTGCACTCTGATGACGTCACGAACCACATCTGAAATATTTTTATCGTTTGTGACGTCCAACTCCCTGATGAAAACTGTTTTGTCAAGGGCGTCGCCTACGGCAGCAACTAATTCTGCCTTTTCCGACATCACGATCACGGTGGCGATGACGATGTACCGCTGATCGACGTCGAAGGCGAGGCGTTTGGCCGTAGCGAGACCGATGCCCGCCGAACACCCAGTAATGAGTACGATTTGAGGAACCATGTTTCGTGCGGGAAATCGGTGATAACGGGAGACGTAGCCTAATTGTTAAGACTGCGGTAGAAAGGGAGAAAGGGAGAGAGAGAGAAAGAGAAAAGAATTTGACTTACAATCATTTTAAAACTCTAAATTGTTTTTGGTTCCCCTGAGAAAGAAAAGCATTTTAATTATAATTAATTTAAAATTCTAAATTGTTTTATGGTACCCCTGAGAAGAGTAAGTGTGTGTGAGAGAGAGAGAGAGAGAGAGATAGAAACAGAGAGGGTGTGCGTGTGGTTCGTGACGTCATCAGAGTGCATGGAAGGATTGACATCTTGTACTGCTAATAATTTATCAACGAAATTAAAATCAAATAAAACTGGTAATTTTTTTTGATTTTTTAGATATTTGTACATCAAACTGTAAACGTATTTTTTTTGAGAGATTAGAAATTTCTTCAATAAAACTGTAAATTATGGGTTGCTTCATTTAAACTCTTAATTAGCAACATATTGAAATCACAGTCATTGTGTTTATTTTTAACATAGACCTTAGCAGTACTAGAGTCCTAGAGGCTGTTCACACCGGCAGAGATAGCGCGCGCTAGACCGCGCTATCTCTGCGGTTTGGAAGGTACAACGTCGTTTCGGTCCGCCCAACAGCGAGCCACGGCGAGCCAAAACGGCGTGCCACTGGAGCACCTCTTGGGGGTGGTCCACGAGAGATAGCCCGGTCTATCGCGCGCTAGAAAAAAGGGGGTGCTACGATAGACCGCGCTATCTCATTGCGGTGTGAACAGCCTCCTAGACTATCCGCTGTGCCAATAGTCGACCAGATTATGCCGATATTTGAGAACTTTGAAAAGTAATTCGAGCAATCAATTTGAGAGGTTAACTTGTATGACAACGCACAGCAGATTCTCAGCGTAAGCTGGTTAAGACTGTCAAAAAGTTTTAAATGGGGGGTTAAAGTCCAATAAGAAGCTAGGTCACTGACAATTCCCAAGACAAATAACAAACAACATTAATGAGACCCGCTCAAGGTAAGAGCATGATAAACTCTCATCTTCCTGATAACACATCCCGTGATTTGCATCATACATGGAACGTATATACATGTATACAGTGCGTCCCAGAAAAAAACGAAACCGAGAATTATCGATGTTTAATCATAACTTAATCACAATTATAATAAATAAATGACACATATCTGTAAAACTTAGATCCCCCTCTTTCATTTGATGCCACTCATATTTCACGCGTGAGTGATTACAAACAATTTGAAGAAAGAATACCAAAAAGCCATTCGGCGAACAGTACCTGAATTTCAAAGAGAAAATCTCACTTCCAGAAAGTTCATTTTCTGCCGTTTCATATGACAACCTTTGGTCTACTGAGCAAGGCGGGAAGATTCGCCGGCAATTCGCTCTTTTCGCAAACAAACACCTCACCACTTATTTCTATTCAGAGCCAGAAAGGCGTTAATTAAATTAATTTAACTCAGATAACACCCCCTGGCTCGAAATAGAGGTTTTGCTACAGTATTTACATTAGAATATAGTTACCAAAGGATTCCAGTAACAAAGACAGCGTGTACTTGAACGTCAGTAGTATTAGTAGAAAAGACTTGTATGCGTTGGCTGTAGGTGTATCACGTATGAACTTACCGGTAGCCGATTCTATTATGGATGCATGATTCTACGTAGCGATACTGGTTGAACTCTGGCACACGTCTGAATAGTTGTATACATGGGTGTCGATCCTTACGTAATACCTATTCATCAGGGGGGGGGGGGGTGAATGAATAGATCATCCCCCCTGATGAATAGGTATCAGTTACGGATCGACACCCATGGTTGTATTATTATACCAAGGAGTTTTAAGAGCTGGAGATCCAACTGGCAACACATTTTTCAAAGCAGCTGCCGTTTTCTAAGATTGCACAATAGAATCTATTTTTGTTCTGTTACCTTTGATGTCCGAGGTTCGAATATCATTGAAAAGCTTGAGTAGTGATTTTTTTCAGAAAGAAATATCTTTAAATATTTCACTTCTTATTTGAACGAACAAGGGGAAAATCGAACAGATGAAAAAATATGAATACGAAAGCCAAATTGTGTCAAGAAATTTGCTTACATTGTATGATAACAGCCAGTGGCGTAATGAGCGAAAACCCGACTAGTTAACGCTAGTGATAGCAGCTTTCAATTGTGAAAATAGTAATATTTTACAATCCTAAAACCTGCAATTTGTCACTTTTCCGATTACTTTCGGCTCACGAAAAAAAAAAGTGAATTTGTTCATGTACAGTTCTTTACAATGTTATATGTCAGATTGGTGCCAACACGTGCCCAATCGAGTAATTTTGATTAATATTTCAGGAAATTTTCCTCCATTTCCTTTCGCTTGCCTCCTGTAAAGGTAGGCACTGTGTACTGCTCGTATTATCAGACGAGTGGTAGCGAAAGGTAATTATCATTACAAAAGCATATTTCCTTTTGAAAGTGGCCCCGTTAGTTTGCAGCTAGGCAGGAATCTTTTGTTACGTATCTGCAAGGAAGATCCAGTTAAAGGTACTATGTCCCATTTGCAGGCCAAAAAAATGAAAAAGTTAAATTCCAACTGCATTTGAAAGATAATACTAATTTAGAACTTCTCTAAAAAAGGTGGGGCTTGAAAATGTCTTCAAGTGGGAAAATAACGACTATTAGTTGTGAAGTTGACTTTAGGGCTATAGAGCCCAAACGTAATAGTCTTGATTTTCAGACAATTGTACCGAATGGTCATACGTTTTATGCTGCACAAAGATTCAATCAGTTTAATCTTGGCCATCACAAGAAGTGGGTTATTGATGTAGAAAAATGATGTACCCTTTACAACTCTTTTCATGTATGTTATTACCAAAGAAGAATCAAAGCCAGTCAGTCACTCAATAGTGTCTGACAGGGAAGTCTAGCAAATAAACAGATTTCCTTGCATAATTTGAATATGAGGACACTGCTCACGTTTAAATTTCACAGATAGGACATAGTTACATGACATATTCATAATTCCTGCAAAGTTCTACAGCATTTGAGGTTGGCTGCAAAAGGGACATAGTACCTTTAAGCACATGTATGCCTGCATATTTTCTCCTGGTGGCATCGAAGATGGTACAAAGCATGGGTATCAATCAGAGCTTGAGCATGGAGGAGTGGGGACACAATTACATGTCACCTTTACAGTACTGTTACTTTCTAACTTATACCACGTTATGTTGCTACACACACACACACACACGCACGCCAACTTTTTTTAATTTTTTTTTAACAATTTTGTTTTATTTCTCCAGATGTGTAATACAAACCATAACATACAATTGAATAAAATAAACGTGTTCAATATTGATGCTTTTACATAAACATAATTAAACACAAACTTATTTGCAGTATAATATAACTTAGCAACAAAGTAAACGTATAAGTACCTAAACATAATATGTCAATTGTAAATGTTATTTACTTATATATTACAAAAAAACAAACAAATCTGGAGATAATTTTACTGAAACAATCCTGCCCCCTCCCTGCCCCCTACATCACACAGACATACTCTCCCTCTATCACACAAACATACTCACCCACTCACACACATACTCACCCACCCACCCACCCACCCCCCCCACACACACACAGTACTCACTCAGTGGATGTCTGCCAACATTCTCAACTTAAGAAAAATATACTAAATAAGTTATCCAGGCCGCAAAATCGAGTTACGCTTTTAACAAGCTCACGGTGGAGAAGAAAGCAAATCTTAATTAATCTTAAGCTGCTCCCACTTTAAAAAATGTGATCCTAGCTTTCCCATTTTAATTGCTATTTTCTTTTCCTCATCCCTATACTTAAAAATGCTTTTTTTTCATCTTTTCTAAAGTTAGTACTCGCCCCCCCCCCCGATCTTGACATAAATGTAACATACTTCACCATGAAAATGATAGTATTACACATTTTTATTCTATATGAACTACCTACCAACCCAACAAATATATCTCGCCATTCTAAATCTTTAATTTCATCTAACTCAAAAAGTTGTATTAAAGTCTGCCATAACCTTTGAACGCTCCCACAAGATAAAAATAAATGTTTGTATGTTTCTATTTCCTGCTTACAAAACGAACATAAATTATCACCAACAAAACCAAATCTATGAAGATGCTCATTAGTGTATATGGCTCCATGCAATAATTTAAATTGAAATTCACGTTGTTTTCTAATGAGTATAGTAATTCTTGGTCTAACAAATATTTCTTTTAATTCTTTATCTATAAAATCATAATCATTTTGCCCATCCCTTACCTGCAAATCATACGTTCGTTGCAGTGCTTTTATGACACACACGCACGCACACACACACACACACTCACACACACACACACACACACACACACACACACACACACACTCTCTCTCTCTCTCTCTCTCTCTCTGTCATTATTCTGTTTCACGCAGTTTACTTTCATTGATGATCGGGTCATTTATTGTCCTTTTTTATCAGCATCTAGTCAAGGTTTATCGATCTTTAACTGCTACCATATTTTTTATTTGCATGTACGGCATCTGCTTATTTCTATCAAGAAATTATAACAATATATAAACATTGAGGCCCGAATTCACAAAGGAGGTTGGTCGACAAACTTAGGCTTGACGCGTTTCAAACCAAGGTTTATCGACAAACTTCATTTGTGAAGTTTGGCTTTTACCATTTAAATGTAATAACACAGGATAGACTTTGATGAACTTGAGGATTGTTGAATTTAGATTTTGGTTGCTTGTATTTGTATCAATATTAATAATATCTCTTATAAATGTAAATGGCCACTCCACTTATTTCAATGATTTTATATCATGATATTCCAGCTAATTTGCAGAGCCAACATCGATGGAAATTATTATATTTCTACACATCACTCCAAACATCCAAAATGAAATTTGATGTTTCACTTCATCACTTTGCACGTGCTGAAGGGACACAGAAAAGTTAAGATAGAGGCTGTAAGCAAAATTGTGATGATAAAAGCATTTAATTGTGTCATTTATTTCATATCTTATCAGGCACTTGCAGACGATAATACATTGATTACGTTAATTTTGCTTAGACAAACAAAATATACAACATCCATTACAAAATTTAGTTATGTAGCACATTTCAAAAGCTTTTTAAACGCCGTGATGACATCACGTATTTACATGATATAAATGCTGTCTCTATCAAGATGTATATATATAATTATACAAATTTCATCATCTTTCATTCTAAAAATATTAAACGTGCAGTATTTCATACCATATAGTATTTATGATAAACTATACAAGCAACATCGTTTGTATCTTAAAGGCAGGATATTCCACTGACACTACTTCATATTAACGTGTACTGCCATCTGCTGCTCACAATGTCCCGATGTATCGACATCCATGTCCAACAATGCATCGCCACCTGATGACGCGCGCATGATGATGCCTGGGTACAGGAACCGGAAATCGCTCCATGCACGCCATCGCCCTAAGATGGCGCAATTGAAAATACATTACACCAGTGGTAGCGAAGTCGGTAAAATACCCTGCTTTTAATCTTAGCAACATTGCTACACGTATTGACGATAGAACAAGGTGATGTCAATTGAAAGAACGAAAAGTAATTATTCAGCTATAATGACGTATAATTTCAGATCTAAAATCGAACAATGATACATAACATCCTGTTTCACCAAATCGTCTCGGCGTTATAATTAATTATGGCATTGAATTTTTATATGGCTAATACATACCTCATACAATATTTCTAAAGGTTGGACAATAAAAACAAATAAAATAAAAGGTTATAAAAATGATATTTCACTCAGATTGTACAAGGCGACAAATGGTAAAAAAAGAATGCACAGTCTTTTCAGTTGTTATTTTTTGTGTGCAAATACAGTTTTCAATTTACTTGAGGAGCCGAATTTGTTCGTTAAGACTTTAAAATTATTTAAAATAATTAGTTTTTTGGTAAAAAAAAAATTCGTTTAGAAAGTGACTAAATGAACATTATATAGTGAAAAGTTGAAAACAAACCAGCCCGGTTTTAAAAGAATTGTCATTAATTAATAACAAGTTCTGAAGCAAAATTTCAAACAGTCAGCTGTAATCCTAATATCATATGTATCAATAATAGTTTTCATGTATTGAGCCCCATATCTATACGATACCGAAACCCTTAATGCCTTACCAAGCATAAACAAAAATATTATACAGTTGTGGCGTCAAATAAAATATTCAATGAGCGTCGGATATTCCAGACATTCCGTTGTCAAAACATTTTTTAAAATGTCAAATTGTGCTAGTAGGTATAGATAGAAATCAATTTGATGATCCTTTCTGCTTGTCAGAGAAGGTTTTGCGTCTTCTAGATCCTCCCATCGATTACCAGGGTATGAGGATGTATCACCGTTTGCCGTAGAAAAGATGGAAACCTGAAATCGTTGACCTTTTTGGCAAATTTTATTGCCCATGCCCCCTCTTTCTACGTGCATAATAGTGATTTGGGGGGTTTTAATTTTAGTGGCATGTAGTACAGCTAATGTCACAACATTAAATGTAAACCCTTTAAGTTAAGTCTTTCTACTTGAAGTTAGCTTTTTAATTGCAATAACAACACTTTATTATATCCGTACATGACAACTATGACATCGGAATCTTCACTTCATCTGAAAATCTGCACTAAATGAAATGAATTAACGGTTAGTAAACCTGGTGTAGTTATGTTGAGAGCAATCGTACAAAATTGATACTCTATTCATAACCTGATTATCTTTTGATTGCTTTCTCCCTCATCTCCTTTGTTTGCGTTAATAAATAAAAGCAAAATGTGGAGCCATAAATCCCTCGTAGCTTAGATCCCACGCAGAGCACTATTTAATACATGAAATTAATCAAAGTGTCGCACCAGGCGAATTCATATGTATATATACAATGAGAAAGCCACACTATCATCATATCCAAACGCCTTACTAGAATATTTAAATGTGTATCTTTCCATGGTTACGTGTAAATCAATACAAGTCACTAAATACTACATTTATTTCAGTCCAGCTGCAATATTAATAATTTTTTCTTATTCGCAAGGTGATACATTACATATTTCTTGATGTTAGAATATATATATATCGTTCTAAATGAGCAATTAACCCATTGTTTACTGGAACCTGGTGGTCCCTGTGTTAAGTCTATGGGAATTAGATAATTCAGTAGTCAACGGGTTAAGATATGACGTATAAAGGCAAATAACAACAAATGTACATTGTACACTGCAAGCAGTCTCTAGTCTTAATGCATGAATAGTTGACCAATTGAGAAAGTGTTAAAGAAACAATGAAAATTAGCATAAGATATACGATTAATAATGAGTTGCGATAAGTATAATTAACAATTTCATTTCCAAAGACTAAACAAAAACACCCCCATATCAAATATCAAATCATATATGAAGTTGGAAACAAAGCATGTGTACATGTTCCTATATCATCATCCTTAGCCCTTTGTTAATGCAGTCGTAAATGTTATCATTATCTAAAGTCACAATTGGAAGGGTCATTCAAATGAACGCCAATAAAAAGGTAAGAGGGGTTATTAAAATGATCTTAATTACTAGGTCCCATTGTCTGTCAGATCGAAGTCAAAGGCCGAATTTGGGGTGGTTATATACATGTCAATGGAACATAAGAGGGGAAACAAATCGCCCTTTGGAATAATGATTGGAAATGATTAAAAACATAGATGATACAAAATGTATTAACATAAATATGTTAAGACCTAAGACAAATACAAACTGAAAAATAGTATCCAGAGAAATCCTTTAAAACATCTTTTTTTTCTGTGCAAGATTGGATACAAAACATAGTAATTGCAATTAGAAATTAGTTTCTATCAAAGAATGTAATCGAGTAGGGTGGGGGCTGTCGATGGGAAAGGATGCGGGAGAGGGAGAGAGAGAGGGAAGGGGGGAGGGGGGGGGGGGAGTAAGGTGGTAACATTGATATAGACTAATGGAAGGGGGTATGGAATCAATTACTGAATACATGCCTTGGCAGGGTGAGAGAGTGGAAGAGAGATAATACAGCTTGGAAGAGAAAGAGAGGGATAGATAAAGGTGGGGAAGGAAGAAAGAGAGAAAGATATAGAGAAAGAGAGCGAGGGAGAGAGAGAGAGAGAGAGAGAGAAAGAGAGAGAGAGAGAGAGAGAGAGAGAGAGAGAGAGAGAGAGAGAGGGAGAACGAAGGGGTCGTTAAACCTGATGAATGGCGAGGTGAATTAAAGATCATAGACTTCCCTTGACTATACAAGTACATGTATGTATTACATGGGCACAATGTCCATTGCCTGGTGTTAGAATGCTAAAGACAACCATGACAATTATATGACGCAAAGTCTAGGCCCCAGTAAGATAAATGGTGCTAAGAACTTGTATACTAGCATGTTACCATTTTGTTGGACTTTTCAATTTTTTTCTATGGTTCCTCTGAGTCTGCAAAGAAAAAAAATGGGATGACATTCATTTTATTCTCCTTATTTATTCTCATTCTTGCACTTCGAATCATTTCTTATTTAGACATCTTATTACTTCATTTCAACTAATGATAACTAGGCCTACTTTTTTGTCAATTTTTCTGTCAACAGTTATTCAGTCCTTAACCCTGCAAAGACTTTGAATATGAATCAACATTTAAAAGTGAAAATATAAATGATACTGCAAATTTTAAGATTAGCTTTAGGTTCAGGCTTAAAGGAGCAATGCCCATGCATTGTGTATTCTTCACATGGCCATTTTTGTCACGGAGATATTTTCTGTTTAATGTCTGAGGGCGTCTTGCAAGTAACTAAAAAACATTTTGAATGTTCACCAATCATACAATGCGTTTACATAAAAGCATTGCTGATTACGAACACGCTTATAATTATTCATGTCAATTCTAAGGCGGCTTGTGAATAAAGGCATGTCGGAGAGTATACAAAAAACTGATCTGACAGATAAAAATCCAAGTAATAAATGACCAGAGATATTGCAATTATCTAAATTGACAACCCCTCAATGAGTCAGATCATGTAAAGCAATCATATTTCATTTGAGGTTTATTTGCACTGGTTTGATTAACGGTTTGAAATTGAACCCACTTATGGGTTATCTATCGCAATTGTACAGTTAAAGTATCCTATCTTGGTTTGAAAAAAAGTATTTATAAATGTATAGGGACGAAAATATGTCTCATTGGAACACATTTCATAAAGGCGTGAGTGAAATCGGTCTACAGGCATAGTTAATTTGGTCACATCCGGCTAGTAAGAAAACCAATGGGGTGTGCCCAATAAGGCACAGAAGAGTTGACCACTATGAACAGGTTGTCTTTCAAGACAGATTTCTATAAAGAAAATTATTATAATCCTAGAATGAATTAAGTTATAAAAAGGTAGCCTCTACGTAGAATTTATCAAGTAAATTAAAAGATAGTAAATAGATAGATATTGAAATAAATAGATATTGCGATATTATACATTTCATTGGTAGAAATGAATTTCGCTACGATTTTAATTGAAATATGTACATTACTATATTGTTTTACGTTTTATATGAAATATAAACACTTTAAATGAGATATTCCACAACTTGACGATTACTAACTTGCATTTATATTTGTATTTAAATGTCTTGATTCTGTATAATCATATATATATATATATATATATATATATATATATATATTCTTTCCCCGTAACTGTACATTATTGTCTAGTTTTATATTTGTAAAACTATCGCATTTAGGCCTTCTGGAGGCAAAGATATGTTTTAAAAATATATATATATAATCAATCTCTTGTATCATCGTGACGACTGACAGAAATCACTATTTGAATGTTTAATCGTGTAAGACAATTTTTTACTCTGTGGACATTTGCTCTTTTTGCACTGGTTTGATTAACGGTTTGAAATTGAACCCACTTATGGGTTATCTATCGCAATTGTACAGTTAAAGTATCCTATCCTGGTTTGAAAAAAGTATTTATAAATGTATAGGGACGAAAATATGTCTCATTGGAACAAATTTCATAAAGGCGTAAGTGAAATCGGTCTACAGGCATAGTTAATTTGGTCACATCCGGCTAGTAAGAAAACCAATGGGGTGTGCCCAATAAGGCACAGAAGAGTTGACCACTATAAACAGGTTGTCTTTCAAGACAGATTTCTATAAAGAAAATTATTATAATCCTAGAATGAATTAAGTTATAAAAAGGTAGCCTATACGTAGAATTTATCAAGTAAATTAAAAGATAGGTAAATAAGAAAGGAATTACAAAATCAGTCAAAAGTATGTTGTTGTGCGGTTTTCATTGTCAATTATATCGTCTATTAAGAAATCAGGGAGGCTGCACCTTTTCCTATTTTCGTTTATAAACCCTAACTGATACAAATCATTTGTTTTGGCACTAATTCGATCGTCATTGTTTGTGAAAATATCAAAAGATTCATGGGAGGATTTTTTTAACGAAATACAAAAAGTTATTCATAATGTTATATTATTCACAAGAATATGATACATTTTGATCTCCTCTATATACATTTAGGCACCATTAAAAACGTTGAAACTTAAATCAATCAATGTCCCCCATGGCGTGACCATTACAGAGGTGTCGCCAGCTGGTTAGTTGGATCCGTGTAATATGCGTCACCGTACGCGTTCTCATTCACCAAAGGCGAATTGCTGTTGCCTTCATACATATTATTAATGCCATTGTTTTGATGCTGTGGTATGGAAGTGTGATTAACCCTTTGGTCATCAGGTTTGAAACTCGTTAGACTACCTTGGCGATTTTTATTCACGACCGCGTACGTCGCATCATCCGTCCCATCAGCCTCAGCGCCCGGTGAATCCTTCCCGTCAGGCGGATCCCTGTTATTCTCGTCGACGACCATGGCGTAGTCCGACACGCCGACGTCGTACGTCTGACTGTCGCCGTAATCGTTCTCCTGCACGAAGCCACGCCGTGACTGCTCAGCTTCGTCTTCCTCGAAAGCGGGGTTTCCGAAACTGGTTCCCAAGGCCGGGTTAAAGGGTATCTTCTTCGTCTTTTGCTTCCGCTTTCTGTGTTCACAATGAGGTTTCAATGATAAAACGGGTATGATTTATTAGCAATTCTAGAACTTCAGGACAAAAATAACCACATAAACAATTTAACAGAAGTTACAACAACAAAACTGGAAGGGGAACAAACAGAAAATAAGAAATTTGAATCCATTCGTCTCCACAAGCTATTCCGGGTATGGAATTCACAATGTCTTTTGTTCATTTAATTCAATAATTTAAATGCTCATATTGATCAAATTATACCCTGACAGTCCAAATTGTTCAACGAGCCAACAAATCGTTACTGTTTATATACGGAATACCCATGTCATTTCAAAACGTTTATGTATTCAAAGCGTTCCGGGAACTTTTGAATTCCATTTATACGTAAGGTCTTACATGATTGAACGTGGAAAGATAAACAAATTATATAATTTTACCTATTCACGAAATAGCGTGAAATTGAGAATACATTTTCCTAAAATGTTTAATAAAGTTCAAAATCAAAACAAATTTTGTGTTGGACTCGAACATAATTATGTACAATAATATTCAGCTCCCACAACACAAACCTTCACAGACTATGAAACATACGCAAAAAAGTATGGATGTAATAGAATGTAATCATATATAAGTATTAAGTATTGCGCGAACGATGTACCAACAGGTGACGAAAATACAGATAGCTAAGCAAAATAAATTAAGAAGGTTTCTAAACTATATGGCACAAGCAAAATTGCGATATTACGACTCGTGCAAATATACACAATTACTTTTATGCAACAAAAAATACAATAGCACAACAGCGATTACGTTTTCTATCCAGTGGACTAAAGGGGCGACTACAACATAATTATTATGTGCCATTTGAGATATTGCGATATTGTACATTTCATTGGTAGAAATGAATTTCGCTACGATTTGAATTGAAATATGTACATTACTTTATTGTTTTACGTTTTATATGAAATATAAACACTTTAAATGAGATATTCCACAACTTGACGATTACTATAACTCTGTGGACATTTGCTCTTTTGATTTCTTTGGAATTTGCCTTTTCTTTCGAAGTTTCATGCATATTAAAAACAACGCTGCTCTACAAAAAAGGACTTTTTGATAATTTGTATAATCTAGTTCCATCAATATCTTTTTTTCTAATATTTTCCTCATAAAATCACACAATAAATCACGTCATATATTTCCACCTCGATGGATCGAAGATGAAAAAAAAAACGGTACGACTACAGCATGTATATCACACAATGCATGCACAAATAATTTCAGGGGCGATATACGTATCATATGCACAGTAACATATTTTATTCATGAATAAGCAAATGAACATCGATTGCTAAAAATTCTTCATATCAAACGTGTCATTGCATGCATATTCACAAACATACTACATTCAGTATACATTAAGCAGAATATAATAGAAGATCACACACGGAAACGGTGAAGTGAAACAAGAAAGGCAGTTTCACTCTGAAAACGTACACATGTGCACGTACATGTAGACAGCATACATGTTGTGCAGATAAAGTGACTTCTAGTCGCGAAATTAAATCGAAAATAATGATAAATAACTAAGTGTGGTGTCTTTACATTCACGTTATTATTTTCTGCATACTTTTTCTCCTTGGCTGCTTTTCGTCTGCTTTTTGTCAATCGACGAAAGAAAAGTTAGAGGAAATGGAAACAAACATAATTTGATGTTTTAGTTTGCACATGCATAAACTACAAAGAAACCTGGGCTAGCTAGTTTACAATATAGCCCATTAATAACAATGATGATAATTATAATTCGATTTATTTAGCACCTTTTTTTTAAAGGAAACAAGGCAATGGCACTTTGTCTTTACACAAATATGCAAGAAGAATTGTAGAGGTACGTTTTAAGATGATTTTGAAGAAGTCAAATTAAGTACTATTTCACAGAAATGCGGGGGGGGGGGGGGGGAGGGGGTTATTCCATATGCGTTATGCAGCAGCAACGGATTGAAAGATTTTCAAGCCAGCCTGTTTTTATTTGGGGATTTCGGGGTTGAGAATGAAAAGAGCTGAAAAAGATTGAAGTAAATATGATTTCCCCTGCGGCTGAAAGAGTCAGGAGATCCATAAAGGAAGTGCTGTTGATATAATTATATTTGAAGGTTTCAACAAGTACCCGGTATTGTATTCCATCGGTAATTGGAAGCAAAATGTAGTTCATTGTAATTCCAATTGATGTGTTCATTTATTTAGTTCTGTGGAGGGGGATTGAGGCAACAGTGCTCGAAATGATTAATTAATATTTAAACGGGGGAAAAAAGATTAAAAGCTTGGACACAATTCAGCTTGTTAGATTCAATGAGAAAGATGAGGAAAGGACTATTGGACTCTTTTCAGCGCCCAAATGCACCGACTTCATTAATCACCATTTCATACATCTGCTAAAGTCGGTATACCAAGAAGGAGTTATTCTAGATGGGGGGGGGGGGGGAGGACTTGGGGGCTCAGTCCCCGCCAAATTTCCTCAAGACTCAAATTTTCTTGATTTTAAATAAATCTACGTGAGGTACATGTACACATGAATGCAAGACCACCATCCCCCAAACTCCAAATATTCTTCATTACAACCCATGCCTCACCCCTAGGATACCTGGGTTCCTAATTGGACCCTTGCTACGCCACTGCTACGACAATATGAAGAAGAAAAACAAACAAGACGAAACGAATTTTTTTCACAATCAAACCCACTGGCAACAAGCAGTCATAATTACGAACACCACCACCTGCGCCATCACCAGCCATTTCGGTTTCCATGGTTTCCAATCAGCCTGTAAACACCCCCCCCCCCCCCCCTCGCCACAAAAAACAAGCTTCCCACATTGGACAGAACCATGACTGCCATCAATATAGCTTTGGTAATACGTAACACTGATATTCAGAACAAAATGTCATATATTACTAATTTAAAAAAAAATAAAAAGTTCCAAAACGCTGACTATCACGAAGGTGCCATTAAAATCAGTAGCTTGTACTTTTTATCAGAATAAGCTGTCAAAGTTGAAATGATTTTCACCAAAATAGAAAAATAAAAATAGGAACGTCGCCAAAATAATAACTATCAACAGTATTGTCAAGATAATCCGGAACTTCTGCCGATATTCAGAACAAACTGCCAAATTTGACAGATTTTATAGGAAGGAACGTCCCAAAATACTTATCAAAAGCGCTGCCATTGTAATCAGCAATTTGTACAAATATATTCAGAACAAATTGTCACATCTGACTGATTTTGTAGAAAAGAACGTCTCCAAATACTGACTACCAATTATAGTGTTGCCACTTGCCAAGGTTATAAGCAATTTGTACAAATATTCAGAACAAATTGCCACATCTGACTGGTTTTGTTGAAAGGAACGTCTCAGAGCACCGACTACAAACAGTGTTGCCACTGTAATCGGGAATTTGTACAAATATTCAGAACAAGTTGCTACGTTTGAAGGATTTTCTGAAAAGGGACGTTCAAAGACACAAGCAATATATGTTCCCCTTCACATGCATCTGCGTTAGCGTAGTTTCGTTATAATCCCACATTTCTTGATCGATCTAACACACTACCATCATGCACGTTACACAAGAGGCGTTATTTTAGTGACGTTTCACTGCGTCAGCATCTAGCTGACGTTTTCATTGACGCACGCATGTAAACAGTGTAATCTTTCCATTGCATTACTGGCATATAAACTGACAAACCTTATGGGCTACATAAGGGGAGGTAACAACGCTTTTATATCGAGGCCTCGTATGCAAAGAGCATCCCACATTCTTCTATTAATTTCATCTAAGTTCCCTGATATAACGCATGCTGCTATTCATCTTGATGTCATGCCGTCAATGCTCCGCTTCTGTATGTTTCATTTACTTACGTCATAGATTATGCCACACCTACTCTTATTGATGACTTGCTTTTGGTGAAAGAGGATGCATGGATAAAAGAACTGTAACATAACCCGTTTCACACTACGGTAATTGTAATCGAATGAATTAATCATTTTAATTGTGCACAGTTATGGAGAGCCAATCAATCTTTGGAATAGGAAACTATAGATGGATAACAATGAAATTGTAATGTTACACAAAACATTAGTGCTGAATTAAGAAATGGAATAAAATGGGAATGTTTTAAAAGCAGCTCTTTGCCGTTCAAAGAATTTTCTTTTGACATGTCAGCTTTACGTCTGTAAAATGGCGACAAGCTGGAATGCTCACCAAAATGTGCACAAGAGTAATTCTGGGTAATAATGACAATAATACTGTGAGCGCTATAGGCACTTAATGGTACAGCGCTTTATAACAACCAGGTATTATTAATATTACTACTTTGAATCATTAACGTTAATAATGTATTCATAGTTAGAGAGATATATGGCCAACATTCGACGCAAGGGACGTAAAACGACGTCGGTTATCTTACCTTGAGCAGCAGACGGATACGATGATGATTAAGAGAATGACGACTAGTACTCCAGCTGCGGCACCGATGATAATCGGAAGCAAATCTAGAGTATGAAGTAGAAGTAGTGATGAAGATTGTTAGATAACGTATGTTTCATGTTACGGATAACTTTATAATAAATATATAATTTTGTATTTTATTAAGTAAATTCTAGCTGTAGTGTATTTTTTATAGCCCATTCTGTCTCAGTCAATAACATTTGGGACGAAATATGCAAAAATTAATAGGCGAGTACTCGTCAACTCGTGCGAAATTGTTTTTTCACCACATATATGATTATCAAGTATAATGTATACTGTATATACCAGACTATAGTATTTACAGATATCTACACTTCTAATCACCAGCGATTCAATCAAAACTTGATTTGAAACAGCGATAGCCCACTGATGCATGGGACGTATCATAAAGATGCTATAGATATCTGTCCCACCAACTGCATCGATTGTCTGTCGCGGGCAATTGTTTATACAGCGTCTTTCAATCGAAGAGGCATAGCTTCTTCTGTTTTGGTAGTCCAATTACAAAAGCACGATTGATATTACAATGCTAGTATAAGATAACATTCCTTTACGAGTGGCAATTAGAGGCGTTCACACCTACAGAAAAAAGTGAGATTTAAATATCGATTTTTGCATCGCGATCGAAAAATCGGCTTTTTATTTGGGTGTAGCAGAATAATTTCACTAAACTTTGCGATTCGCATCGTGATCCAATTTGCAGTAAGTCTTACGATTTTTCAGCGGATGGTATTGAGAATTAAAAAGAAAAAGAACAAAAGAAAAAAGAAAAACAAAAATCGATTTATTTAATCCCAGGATTCCAAGCGCGCATACTTCGCACGCGGAGTTCGACGCTCTTGCCGTCGAGCAAGTATTCTCCCTGTGTGCGAATGGTCGCCAAAAATAAAGTCAATCTTTGCATCGCGATCCAATTCGCACTAAATTGACATGTGTGAACGGGCCTATGTAGATCTGATTCATAAATGAATGAATAAAGGTGAGTCATAATGCCACAAAATTCAAAAAGATATTTACCACTATGGGAAATTGAAATTGCGCTTCAAAATCTTTGCGATTATTATTATTCTAGAAATAAGTAAATTAACACCAAAACCAAACCAAGTTATCTCATACCCATTTCGTCGCCCTGGTTTCTACCACTATCGGCGGTTGTCTTCTCCCCACCATCTGTAACAGCGGGTGTCGATGAGCCCTGTCCCCCCGGCGACGACGTCATCGTGACTGTCGGTCCCGACGTGCTCGAGTCACTGCTTGTCGATGATGACGGGCTCGATGACGGAACATTTGGTGACGATGACGACATCGACGCCATGTTATCTGTTGACTGGGACGGTGTCGTCTTGGATACTGTCGGTGGCATTGTGGACATCGTCACTGTGGACGGTACTAAGGTTGTAGGGCCTGGGAAAGGTAATGATAACAAAACAATTTGATAAAAAGGAAATTCCGTAACAATGGCTTAAAATGTCCCTTTTGCAGCCAACCTCAAATTCTGTAGAACTTTGCAGGAATTATGACTATGTCATGTATGTCCTATCTATGAAATTTAAACGTTAGCAGTGTTCTCATATATAAATTATGCAAGGAAACCCGCTTACTTGCTAGACTTCACTGTCAGACACTATTGAGTGACTGACTGGCTTTTTTTCCTTCTTTGGTAATAACATACATGAAAAGAGTTGTAAAGGGTACATGAGCATTTGTCTACATCAATAACCCACTTCTTGGGATGGCCAAGATTAAACTGATTGAATCTTTGCGCAGCATAAAACGTATGACCATTCAGTACAATTGTCTGAAAATCAAGACTATTACTTTTGGGCTCTATAGCCCTAAAGTCGATTTGACAACTAATAGTCGTTATTTTCCCACTTGAAGACATTTTCAAGCCCCACCTTTTTTAGGGAAGTTCTAAATTGAATTATCTTTCAAATGCAGTTAGAATTTAACTTTTTCATTTTTTGGCCTGCAAATGGGACATAGTACCTTTAAACAATCAGGAAGAATACATGTAGGAACACCAGTTGGAGTGATAGTGAGAGAGATATAGAAAGGGAGAGAGAGAGAGAGAGAGAGAGATAGAGAGAAAGGGGGTAAATAGAGTAAATACGGAAATAATAGAAGAAGGAGGATGAGAACTACAAGAAGAAAGTGATGGAAAAGGAGGATGAGAGGGAGAAGATGAAAAAGAAGAAGAAGAAGATGAAGAATAAGAAGTAGTAGAAGTTATAGTAGTAACACAATAAGATGAAGGAGAAGCACAAGATGAAGACGTCCGATCCGATTTGGTTCCCTAGTTATCCTGATTGTTCATATTCACTCCTTTTACGGTACAGGTATAACATCACACAAATAGAAGACAAGAAAAGTGAGATGAGAAAGATAAAATAGGAACGAAATAGAAATTTTGAATGAAGACAGAGAAAGAGGAAGATGAAACACAAGAAATAAACCATTAGATTTTCATGACGTAAAAGTATGCACATAAAAGCAGCTTCTAAGCATGTACATAAAAGCAAACACATAATATAACCATACAATCCACAAAAAAAAAGAAAAAAAAAAAGAACAATGGCTTTATTATAAAAGTATTGCAATACCTTTTGTTTAATCAATAGGAAGAACGGATATCTTATTCTTTGCAAGCGTAAAAAGGTGAACAACATTATTGGTGAAATGCTAAAAACAAATTCATTCTGGCAAAAGAAAAACGAGCTTTTGGCTACGTGTGAGTTTCCTGAAATAGCAAATAATAGACGTACATGTATATTAATATTTATTGTACCAACCAAGTATAATGTTTGTCGCTCTGCAAAGCCCAGGCTGCCAAAGAATGGAAGTGTTTTTTTTAATTCAAGAGACCACAGATGATTCTATAATTCGAAGGCATCGATGAACTTAAAAAAAAAAATAGGATAGGTCTTTATATTAATTTTATGGGAAATCTTAACTTTGGGGACAACGCACATCACCTAGTATATACCCGATCAAGATCGTTTTGTATAAAATGTGGCAAATCAATTACAATAAGTAATAAATGGCACACATGCATATTTCCTAGTTTCCTGTGACATTTTCGAAGGTTTTTTTTAATGAAAGAAAGAAATCGTTAGGGGGAGTCAAGAAATGTTCATTTCCGAATCGATAGAGACGCGAGGAAAAGGAATATCTAAACGACATTCACCATTTAGACGCCAGGTGATGGATATCTTTCTCAGTAAAATACAGTGAATAAAGATAAAATTAGAAAAAATCAACATAAATCTGTACTGGAAAATGAGTGAATAAATGAGAAGGCTTCACAAATGTAAAAAAAAAAAAAATCACTAATTTGATGCCATTTTTTTTCTTTGCTATTGTGCATGTTGATGAAATAGTGATGGTCAACAAACTTTTTGTGGGAAGGAACAGCTTTATTAGCAGAGCATGTTTTTTTAGACAGTACTGAGGCAAGATGAAAACAAATTCAATGGTCTGTATGCAAAATGAAAAACCATGCTGATATTTTTATCCAAAGAATTTCGTGATGAAAAGCGACATTCTTTTTCAACACTGAATGTAATGACTTTTATATAACTTGTGATGTCAATTCACTTTCCCTTTATTTCTTTATCTTTTTATGTCTACTCATCTTCATTTCCTTTTCATTATCTTAAAATTCCGAATTTACCTCCTTTTTCTCTCTCTTCTTTTCCTCATCAAGCGGTCTTTTGAAAATTACACAAATCTAAACATCTACACCATTACACACACGTGCGATCAAACATCATGCCAGGTTTTAGTGTGGGTTCGGCACAGAGAATGTTAATGTCAGGTTGCTTAACCTAATTCAGTCGGGTAGAAAGCTGGTAAAGCAGAATAATAGCACATTGGAAAACTTTAACCGGCAAGCGCACAACATAATGATTCAGAAAAACTGACAAGAGCATGAAATTGCAAATGACAAAATCATGGAAAGGCAGGAAAAAGGAGCAATGAAAAGAGTTGTTTTTAAATAACAAGTATCTGGGGAGGAATGGTACACGGCGAGGTGGAGGAAAGGCAGTAAATATTCTGATTAGACCGTCTTGTCGTCATGGAGACGGAGCTTGGCTGACGCGGATGCTAACAACACCAAACAGCCTATTAGGCAATCGGGCGTAAGATGGAGATGGAGACGATATATTGGGATGGGAGTGAGAATGCGAAGCAAAGGAGTGAGTGTATATATGCTTGAGAGAAAGCGATGAGAGAAGTATACCGGAAAGAAAAAGGAGGAGAGTATAGAAGTGAGGAATAAGAAGGAGGGGAGGTGAAAAAACTGCAGGGAGAAGAAGATAGTAAGAATATAAGTGAATTAAGACATGATAATTATTAGGCTGTATCATATCATAAAGAAAGAGAAAAATATAAAGGGGGGGGGAGAAGCAAAAGAGTCAGAGGGAGACAGAGAGAGAGAGAGGGGAGAGAGAGAGAGAGAGAGAGAGAGAGAGGAGAGAGAGAGAGAGAGAGAGAGGGAGAGAGAGAGAGAGAGAGAGAGAGAGAGGGAGGGGTAGAGAGAGTTTGATTATATTTGCGTTACAAATATACTCAAGGAGATGGAATTTTGTGAGATCCGAGGAGTAACTGAAAATGAGACCAAACGGAACTCTACCATCAAGCATTGCTAACAATTATATACGTATCGTGTGAAGGAGCACAGTGGGAAGTGGCACACACTTCTTAAACGAAAGTAAGAAAGAATATGCAGTGGAATACGAAATAGGAATGTACATTGGCAGAATAGTTTGCTTTTCAAATGGATATACATGTACATGTGTGTACTAACATACAATGTTTTAACAGCAGGAGCAGAATAGTAACTTATACTTCAGCAAAGACAGAATGAAATGAAATTGCTTCTTAAAAGAAACGAATGGGAAGCAGAATAACTACTAGTGAATATTTGAGCAAAGACAGAAAGCAAACAAAAATAATGCTTCAAGACAGAAGAAGCTAAGCTCTTAAAATAGATCATGGAAGAGCAGAATAAAGGTGATCGGAAGATCAACTGAAGTATTTTCGATATTGGCTAAAGATATATGAAGGTTGCTGTATTCGTTCCCTCTCAGTACAAAAACTTAAAGCCCTTCTGCACTGTTTTGGCCTGAAGGGATTAAAAATCCCTGCATGGTCACAGGGAGGTGGTTTTCTCATCAAATCAGCTCTCAATTAATGTAAGGAAAAGGGGACCATGGGGGATCAACGGACACCGCTTAGTCATTGTTGGCTATACAGAAAGCGCAAGTACCTACAGGTGGTGCAGTCCCGCTTAAAGCAAGCGTGGTATTAAACGGCTCACTATAAACTTGTAAACTGATGCTTCAGCCATGGTTTGATATATATTTTTTTCTAGTACCATCACAGCTTCATCCATTTAGATATTATTGTACAAGCTGGGTGCAAGCAAGCCACTCGGTCCTGAATACATTGCAAAGCTCATTATATTCAATACCTCCTGAAGTTGAACCTGTTGATGTTTCTGTTGTTACTGAATCATTTGTTGGAGTAGTTGTTGAGATCGGTGCTGTTTCTGGAGAAACCGTCGAATAAACGAATTGTTACGCCACAATGACGAATATGAAACATGTAATACAAATAATTATAATAACGATGATAATAATAATAATAATATCAATAATAATAATGATAATAAGTATAAAAATGATAATAATGATTGAAAAAATTATTTTCATTCTTTCATTCATTCATAATGGCTTATTAGATTTAAAAACAATTCAATGACAGCCATGCAAGGTTGAATTGACGAGGCGTACAGTATAACAAATTGTAAAAATTGACAACTGACAATACAAGTAATACAAAATCACAATCAATTATGGTAAAATAATCATGATAAAAACATGGAATATATAATTTATACTAATAACAGAAAAAGAACATGACCCACATGTAGTACTGAGGATGTTAGAGAGGGAAAGAGGAGGGTTAGTAATGTAGTATAGGGAGGGATGTTTATAATCAGAGTTATCGACTAGTGTTCAGAAGAGTGGTGAGAAAGGAAAAATATTAATTAATCATAGAGATCCTAATCAGAGAAAAAAATTATTGAAGAGGAGAAAACAAGAGAGAGAGAGAGAAAGAGAGAGAGAGAGAGAGAGAGAGGGAGAGAGTAGAAGAAGGAGGGGAGGACGAGGAGGTAAATAGTAGCCATTTTCTATTTAATGGTAATAATACTAATAATAACATGTCTTGTATAACCCGGGCAACATAATCATATCAATACTACATACATCACATTTAAATGGACATAAGGATGCATATCAAAACAATGAGAAACTGGGAAGGGTGGGTGGCAATACAGGTTTTTTTGTTGTAGGTTTTCAAACAGGGAGCCTACGCCGGCTCCATTTTATAACTAAATACGTAACTGGAATTTATTCGGGTATAACATGCAGGAGCGTATAAATTTCATCCATTGACGATGTTGAACATAGGAAAAAAAGAGATAATATTAGTCAGAATGAATAGATTAAGGTTACATGCTATATTTACACATGACAAAAGAATTTGAGGAATCAATAGTACCAGTACTATTAAGATTGAATAATTCAGATATTCTCAAATCTGACTACTACTACTGCCTTGATTGCTACTGATGTACTATTACATATATTTGAAAGGTTATGCACAATGTAGTAAACCACGGACAACGTAATTCACTATGATCGGTCAAGAAGAATGAAAACATTGACGTCATTAGCCAAGATATGCATTACGAAGTTAGTAAGGTTAGGACATATACTACAGACAAATGAAATGGTGGCGTGGGAATTATCTACAACCGTATACAGGCTTTTAATGTGTGGGTGTGTGGTGTGGGGATGGATGTTAACATTAACACAATCCAATAAATCAATCAGCAAGCTGATGATTTTGGATATCTTGTTTAGCTGTGCCAGACAGAAATCCTCGATAAGGAGGATCATTTTGTCTCGATCGTTTGACATTCCATGATTTTCAATTGATCAATCATTGGAATTATTGTCAAATTTCGTTACATGTTTTGTTCATCAGAAATTTTGCTTTAATTCTAATAACTATATGTTTATCGTTAATTGCCGCATAATTTAAGATCATAGTATATTGTTCAATCCACAATGTTTTCTGAAAAAAAATGGTATGACACGGAACTCTGCCTTTATTCGAAATGGTTAGTGTATTTTCCTTAGAGAAAACAGTTTCAACACACCCACGCGTCCCCACCCACACACACACCATTCCAAACATACAGCCATAGAAGCAGGTTGTGGAGAGGAAACAGATATTGTTAGTACCTGTCACCACAGTTGGAGTAGTAGTACTACCACTATCCCCACCTCCTGTTGTAGGAGTTATTCTTGAAGGGGTCGAAGGCAACGTTGTTGTGGGTTGTGGCGTGGTGGTTGGCTGTGTTGTTGTTGGCTGTGTTGTTGTAGGTTCTGGTTAGTTGAAGGGTTATCCAATATGTTATAAACAGAGTACATTGGTATAAGTGATTTGATGAAATTAGTTACATCGCCATGAGTGATAAAAAATGCTTTCAAAATATTGATGAAATGCATCGGAAATTTGAGCAAATACAAATTTAATGATAATAATAATAATGGTGGCTTCTTATATAGCGCACATGTCCGTCACGTTGTGACGCTCCTGGCGCTGCCCCGACCCTGGTTTTAGCAAGGCAGCCACTGCGGCGCACTAGCATTTCAAGGAATTAATTCCTGCCAGGTACCCATTTACATCACCTGGGTTGAGTGTGGCAAATGTAGATCAATGTCTTGCCAAAGGACATTAGTGCCGCGGCGGGACTCGAACCGCGGACCATAAGATCGACAGTCCGACGACGTATCCACTCGACCACGACATAAATCAGAAATGTATTATTTTTTAACCGCATGTTTTTGCAAACCGGATGTTCAGAACTCGAACGCACCCCTTTAATTTGTATGATTATAAAATAAATTACCTCATTTAAAGAAACCCTTCTCACGTTTACCCTTTTTGTCACACCAATCTTACGACCCTTCTAAAGGCCCGGTCACACAGAGGGGACGCATGGGGAACGCACGGCCAGCGCATTGGAAATGTGCAATTTTGGCCAGTGCGTTGTCGTGCGCCCAACTTTTGTCGAAGCTACAGCTAACTGACACCAAATGCATAGCGTGTTGCTAGCGCGCTGGACGCATACAAGGCGCACACAGGGCGCACACAGGGCGCACACAGGGCGCACACAGGGCGCACACAGAGCGCACATGATAACAACTTCCACGAATGCACAGCGTGTTGCTAGCGCGCTGGACGAATGGTCCACGCATACACCGCGTTCTACGACGCACGGCCAGCGCATTGGAAATCGGAAAAGAACGTGTGCCTAACTTTTGTCATAATTTTGGAAAAGCTAGCGAGCTGACACAAAATGCACGGCGTGTAGCTAGCGCGCTGTGCGTATACAGGGCGTGTGCTCCACGCATGTCTGGCGCTGGTCTAGCGCGCTCCACGCATGTCTGGCGTGCCTTTGGCGTGTATATTCATGCGTCGAGCTCGGCGCACGTTTTTGAGCATGCTCAAAAAATCCCGACGCACACAGCGAATGACGACGCATGCATAGCGCTGGTCCAGCGTTGGTCCAGCGCGCTCGACGAACGAGTAACGAATGATGACGCACGCCTAGCGAACGACAACGCACTGGCCCAAATTGCAAATTTCCAATGCGCTGGCCGTGCGTTCCCCATGCGTCCTCCCTGTGTGACCGGGCCTTTACTAAGGACATATTATACACTATATAAACAAAGAACATTAACACCCTTTCTTTCTCATCGTGTTTGATGAAAACATAGCTGATTCATGAATCGATTTAGAAATTGATACTAACGTGATACTTGTAATATTATATCAATACTCATGGTAGACACGGGACATTAGTTTACCAGTGAATAGGTCTTTAATATTATTACTGGCATATTTATTTATTTATTTACTTTACTCATTTCATTTCCAGGCAAGATGATAACAATACATTAAAAAACATCAAAGGGTTGACAAAATGATATTTAGAACCAGCCAATGCCTTGGGATCACCTAAAACAATTTAAATATTCTGTCGAGAGGCTCTCCACATTAGCTGGTGCATATATTTGCACATGGAGTGTTAATATGTTAAGATGATTATTATTTACTTTATTTATTTCATTTCCAGGCAAGATGATGACAATACATAAAAAACATCACAGGGTTGACAAAATGATATAACATTTAACAGTAGATATTTAGCACCAGCCAATGCCTGGGGATCACCTAAAAGAATTTAAAAATTCTGTCGAGAGGCTCTCCACATTGGCTGGTGCATATATTTCCACATGGAGTGTTAATATGTTAAGATGATTATTATATACTTTAATCACCAATGATATACGAATGATTGTGTAAGATTTACGTCAGATGGCTATTATGGTTAACATCATGTTATTTACAAGGAAACAGTTATGACTACATGAACTAAGAATATTTTTTTTACTTACGTATATTAAAGAAAAGATTGCGGTGACAATATGTTTAATTCTCAATGTATTTAAAGTATATATCTTCTCTGAACTTAATTGATCAATCTGAAAAAAACGTAGAGATTTATCAATAAAGTTTTTAGTAGATAGAAGACTTATCATCTTAAATGAATAATTGTAAAACTTGGGTCATGCAAAATTGACCCGGATTATTTATCAAACTTTTTTTGCAAGTAAATTACCTGGACAATCCGTCATGGGTTCCCAATCGCCATAGTAACCGCACGTCAATGCTTGATTCGTCTTCGTCGGGTCGTTGTCGCAATCAAAGAGAACTTCATCACCGACTGCGTAGTTGTTATCCAAAGTTTGCCCAGCGATGAAATTGGCGTACATGGGTGCGGTAGGTGTGTCACACCTGACTGTACAGGTTGGGGTAGGGTCTGTCCAGTTCCCGGACTCAGTACACGTGATGGATGCGACGCCATTCTTGATGCTCGGTGGCGGACATACGGCAGTGAAGTCGATGCTTTCACTTGCATTGTAAAATGAACTGTCCTGTTGTGACTGGTCTCCGTTTAGCACGTAACCTGGGTTGAAGCAGTCCGATGCTGATTCTGTAAAATTTAAATAAAAAGTGAATTTTCTTTGGCCTTCAATGTTTAGATCGTTTAAGTATGACACCCACATTTAGATATTTCAGACAATAAACTGAATATACAGGTGAAGAAGAAGGATAACATAATTCCTTCAGCTAAAGATATCTAACAATCACCATACTTCTTTTATCGGATTAAAAGAAAGGTTTAAACAAATCACAGTGAAGTATTTATGTTAGCACTTTTACCTTTCAAAAGGATTGCTCTTGAAGTTCTTTCGCATGCATGTTCATGATTAAAAGGGGACTCTATCAATGTGCATGTACCTTCTCCCATTTCGGAGGTTGATTTCAACATATGCCCACAAATCTCTGTTTTCTGCCACCCTAGAACACTCTTGCAGTGTCATTCCACTCCCTGTATTACTGTTACCCTTCGAGTTAGTTCATGGTTTCCGTCTTGGTCCGGTACTTTCTACTTTCCGTCCAATAAATCTTCCACGAGTTGGCCAAAGTATTTTCTTTGATGTCTGGAATTTCTTTCTTTCAGCATTCTTACCAGGATATTTTGCATAAGAACTGCCATATCCAGTATGTCTCTGTTATTTAAAAAAATATATATCCATGGTATATTGATGATTGGACATCGAAATGTCAAAAACCGTTTTCCTCATGGTTTTTATAGCACTACAGTCTACTGGGGAAAATGGGTATTGTAAAACCGGTCACTGAAAGATTTTTACTTTTTTGAGGCACTTCATGATAGTTTTGAAGCGCAAATTTTGTAGGGCTTCAGTATAACACCATTTCACAGACACTGACAACACGTATGGCCATGCATCTCAGAATAAACATTGTTAAACGATGCCTTTAAGAGCAACTTTGTTAAATGACTCATAGGACTATCAGTCCTCAAATCTGCACATATATTTATGTTAGGTTTCTTAGGGATTGGCACAAAACTGACTTTTTCAAATCATCGAGAATATGGCTATCAAGTTCTTCTTTTGTTATTCCATCTGGGCCTTCAGCTGTAGAAGCTCTCGGTGAATGTAGAGCATGTTAGTTTTTTGTTTTTGTTCACATTGTAATTTCATGACCAGTAGGCCGACGACATTTCATCGTTAATCGGAACAACATTGACATCACTCAGACAATATTTTTAGTGGCCCGAATTCCACATTCGTCATATGACGCACATAAACCTAGGTATGTCTACAAACCTCCTTTGTGAATTCGGGCCACAAAGTCCATGCTCAGACCGAGGAGATACTAGATAAGGACCCTATTTCGACTCACCATTGTATTGGTAAACGCTCAACTGGAAATCTGATCCACACATTTCACTCGAATTTCCCGTACATGGGCTGTTACAGGTATCATCTGGTCCTGTCGGTTGACCCAGAACATTATAAGGTGCAAAGAATCCGCCGCATAGGCACTGGCTACCCGCTTGGAGTCCGAAGTATTTCATGTTCTGATCGACACACATGTCTCTGCATAGTTCAACCGTCATCTGCTGCGATTGGCAGTATTGGGCTTTTGGTCCACATACATTCTGACACGTTTGATAGGGGTCCCTTAATCTGTCGCAAAAAATCAGATCTGGAAGTGCTTCTCTACGGTTGCTGTCATAAAAGCATCCCAGGTAAGTGTAATCTGGAGAGAAAAACAAGAACAGAAAGGAGAAACTGACATGAGATCCTGGTTTATCTGGTAGACCTAATGATTGGTAACAAATTCATGTAAATTAACAACCACTCATCACATCATACCTGCATAGAGAAGACATCTTAAATTGTTTGTCGACTGATATATCATATTAACACAGTTACTAATCAATGAAATGACATATCATAATTTGCCGAAGTTTGATACAACATTAAGTAATAACCTTAGAAATTTGATTTTTCTCTCTTAGTGCATCAGCGAATCTGTACTTAACTAAATGTTGTGGTAACACAAAACACGTCCGGCACGTAAATTGCATGACAAATTAGTGATGTTTATGAATTAAAAGTTTTTTTTTGACATATCTGAATGAAATTTTAGCTAACATTACGCCTCTTCGAATTGTATAATATGTATTTACAGTCTCAATGTCCGAACGATGTGGTTCTACCTCTGTGTGATAAAATTATGATTTTCAACAATCATGCAGTATGCGTTTGTCCCAATACATTGCTAAACAAATAAACTACCTAATTGGTCAAATTGGTATTCAGTTACCACAGTAACTTCCAACCACAGTAACTGCCTAATATGAATACTGCTCAGTTTATAAAAATGGAAACGACGTTGCTTTCTTTAACATATGTCAACCATAATCTCTCGCAGCCCCAAGATATTCAACAATCATGCAGTACGCGTTCGTGCCAATACATTGCCAACAAATAAGCTACGTAATTGGTCAAATTGGTATTCAGTTACCATGGTAACTACTTCATATGAATACTACTGAGTTTATATAATGGAAGCGACATTGCTTTCTTGAAGATATGTCAACCATAATCTCTCGCAGCCCCAAGAGCCAAGGTATTCTAAACGCTACGCCATATAATATGTTCATGTAAAAATGTCGGCCCAAAACTTTGGTCAACTTTGCATTCATGAGCTGCTGCTCTACCACAATGAAGTGACGCAGCTTCGCATCAACTTGCTGATATTAACGAATGGTTGCGAATGCGTTTCTAACAGCCCGTTACTTTAATGATTCAACCAGACAAAGCATCCTAAAAAAATCTAACCCGCTGATTTGGTCACACTATTAAAAAGGTGCGCCACTTTTGTGTCGATGCATATACAGGGAGGGAGAAAAAAACCATTCTGATCGTGAGAATTTTAGAATTCATAATGACATGTCTCAAAGGATGGGGCCCCAACCTCGCTAACTGTGACTAGGATTGAAGTATGTAGGTGATGATTCGACAGCATAATAATCTAGCGAACAGTGCTCCGAACTTTACCACGTCAAAGATGTAGGATTACGGTCAGGGTTAGGATTGGTTGTAATTTTGATAATAGGTATAGGGTTATGGTCAATACCAGGTATAGTGTCAGGTGACATTTTTTGCCGGAAGATGTGTCGCACAACCGTGATGAAGATGGTGCACATATTATTTTTTACGTTGTATAATAACAGTAACAACTTGTATCAAGGTCATAGGACAAAGTACAAACGGAGGCCTAATTACATAATTTAAATCACTGATTTGGGGAATAATCGCGTGACGCGGGTTCTACGACACTTTCTCCGGCGACAAATGCTCCGTGGTCGATTCCTGGGCTAATGAAATTTCTAACTTTTAACACTAGATCTAAACGGAACATAACCCCCAAATTGCAACGCTAAAAGCCTTAAAGTTTTGACGATATAAAGTAGCGAACAAATGTTGCCCGGGCCAATGTCGGCCATCCAGGGTCCTTGCTATGTATTAAACTGTTCATATAGACATGATAGCATATAACACGTGCCAATAAAAATGTTTGTATTCGAAACACAATTCCAACCGTGAAGAGACTTGAATTCCATCAAAACAACTTATCATAAAAACCAGCTATAGTACCATATAAAAGTTTGAATACAAAGGAGCAATCTCTAAAAATGGCGTTAAACTAAATTCTAAACCAGCATTTCTTTTTGTTGTGTCGGGGTCACGACCTTTGTCTCCTCTTTCCCTAGTGATAATAAGCTTCCCACAAAATTGTGATTAATCTCCACAACAAAATAAAAACCACCTCGCAGGTGAAGGCTATAGCGTGGTGCTATATATAGAATAATAATTGAATAAATATATTTCTATTCAGACCAGAAACGTCTCCTGCCGCTCCTTATTCATTGAGACATTCCAGCCTTGAAGGCATAGGACACACATAATTCACACATGGAAATGGATTTCTGTAGGTACCTAGCAACAGATAATGTATGGTCCCAAATGGTAAATGTGTTCTTTGGCGTTTTCAAAATTATCCATTTGTGAAGAAAATGCTATCATATAGAGACTTAATGCCGTTACTTCAGAGCTCATTATTTGCCATGAATTAATTTTCGTATTTTCCGAAGAAATCCTTATTAAGTAAAATCCCAGAGATTGCTAAATTATTTGAGTGCAATTTTACCAATTCAGGCATTTTTGGTGAGCCCACCTAGGATGCGAGCGGATAGGTGAGGGGGGGGGGGGAGGATAATTAATTGGAAGCATGTACACCCTAAAGGCTACACACTATTAACGTTCATGGAGTTAAAATCAAACATTGAAGTTGTATCAGATAAATGTAGCATGAATAAATCATTATTTTTCTTTCTTCACTAGGCCAAACGATTACAAAAGATGATGCAAAGTCGAACTAAAGACGTATCACTTATCTATATCTCTTCAGTACTGTGTTGATAATACCTGTTTTACCCCTATGTCAAGTCTGTTTCTATTTTTGTTTCTATCTTCTTCCTACTCTTTTCCTTGCATCTATGGTCGGCGCATATTAATCAGATTGTCCTCTCATCATGTATTCCGTTCGTGTAGCTATATTCTGAGAAGCTAAATGCCACCTTTACAAATCCTTCTCAGTTGTCATGGAAACATGTGATTCTGAATAAATGTTTCCCGGAGTGCAGCGTTACACCTATATCGACGTGTAAATAAGGTATACCTCCTCACGACTACTCACATTTTTCTTCCAATTTCTTGCATCAGAGTGAACTAAGTTCGCATTACCTGCAATCCATCTTACACTTTAAATATCACAACCGTAATCTACCTCATCATTTTCCTACATGTATGTTCTCATTACGACATTTCTGATAATTAAGTATGAAAAAAGATGTACATGTAATTTCCGAAGTACGTTCCAGTTTAACAGTTAAAAATACACAAGTGACCATTAATGATTAGCACCAAACCAAACGCTTCTGTTCTACTAACCCTTATACGCTAATTTAAGGATAAAATAATTATATAAACATGCATTTTTTAATTAATTTATGGTTAGTAAATTGATGTAGTGGCAGCTTAGTTGAAATTAAAATCTTGTATGTATATCATTATGCATGGAAAAATAGGGCATGAGTACATGTTGAACCTTTTCTAGATTTTGGTTTCATGATAATTCATCCACTACCCCGAATATGACTCTTAACACTATGCATTGGGCCAAACGTTGGTTATCATATCATTATTTCGTACAGACTCTAACACCATCTACAATGGAAGCATAGTGTGGTCATCTAGGGGCAGATAAAAGAAGTAAATATTTCAGTAGAGGTTTGGCAAACCAACGCATTTGTTAACAAGACGAAGAGAGCAAATATTCAATATTTGAGAAAGAAACCTATTATATCCCCAGATCATGGATGGAATTCGGCAACGAAAGAATCAATGGAATGCACAAAGTATTCAGACATACATTGCTTTCCAGACAAGGAACCTGACTATAAGTTACATTATCGTATTATCAGTTTGGTCATTTATCATGCCAGCAGCCATTTGTCCTCCAATACTTCATGCAAGGATTCGATCAACTAAAAAAAAGGGTCAGATATGTTATTAAAACATAACTACAGTGAAACCTGTATGTAAAACCCACTTAAGAGAAGTATGGGAAGTGGCCTTTGCATGCAGGTAAGTGGTATTGATGTAACATTCCCTTTAGTACATGTGTCAGTCTGATTTCTTTCCAAGGGAAACACTTCAATTATAGATAGACGGTTTTTTTTAATATACAGATGGTCGCTAAAGGAGGTTGCCCTGTATAAGCACCCAGCCAAATTATAAACGACTACTGCAACTGCTACTTTTACAACTTCTAATCATCCTCCTCATCGTCATCGTCATATCAAAAAAATATATAAACAGATTCTTGTAATGCGTTCACATGCTGCACGCACCAGATATTAAAAAAGTTGTGAAGACGAGTGAGGACGAGTGAAGACGTGGGGGAAATTAAACAAGAATGAAGGGAAACAAAGCACTTAAAGGAAGTCCAAGGACGTATCGAATGATATTGATTGAGATTGTGTGTGGACAAGTTATTTGTAGATGATAAACTGGTGGAGTTAGAACAAAAACCATACTACAGTAGAAAGTTAGTCCGAAAGAGGGAAAAGGCCATGCGGTCCAAATAAATTAGGAAGAGAGAGAGAGAGAGAGAGAGAGATAAAGAATTTGGATGCATGTGTTTGAATGGAAATTACCACAGTTACTTGAACCATGAATTTCATTCAAATACATCTCCATCTCCACATGTTAAAAAAAACTAAACAAGCCCAAGGCATGATTTCCTAACGGTTTTTATAACACTGCAGTCTACTGGGGAAATAAGTACGGTAAAACCGGTCACTCAAAGATTTTTTTTTTCGTTTTTGAGTCACATTATCATTTTCAAGCGCAATTTTTGTAGGGTTGGAATATTACACCATATCACAGACACTGATAACACGTAGGATCATGCATCTTAGATTTAACATTGTTAAACCATGGACCTACAACTCTTAGTAGGTCCATGGTTAAACGATGTCTTTAAGAAAGAAAGATGACCGACAGTCCTCTTTAGGATTCCCCAATCCTCCCCCTCTCCTACGTGGTGCAACTGTAAGCCTACTGTATAAGAAAAGAGTTATTTACCAGCAATAGAGAAACCATATCAATTTCATGCAAGCAAAG